TTTTTCCGGGCCGTTGGTTAATGTTGAGTGCTTCGTTGCCTGACAGTATTTCATTTGACAAAAGGTTGTGACGAGAGGTTTCCCGTGGTTTTTACATAAAGACACACTCTGACAAAAGTGTGCAAAACAAGTTCTGGGTGTACTAGTATTTTATCCTCGGTCAACACAGGCCTAATTTTGGAGGGATTCAGTAAACCGTCTACGTGGAAATAACAATAATAATAACTATTTTCGCAGTCTTTATAATGTTTATTTCTTCATATCTTGACAATCATCTATTTTACAAGGGGTCATGACAAAGATTTCTGCGAAATAGTTCTCCGTCAAAAAATAAATAAATAAATAAATATATATATATATATATATATATATATATATATATATATATATATCAGGGTGTCGAACCGAACCGAACCGGTATTTTTTCCGGAACTGAACCCGAACCCGAACCGTTATATTGTTATCGCGATGACCCCGAACCGGAACTGAACCGGGAAAAAAATAACGGTTACCGGCTCATGTCAAAACGGTTCGGCCACGCGCTGTTGACAATGAATGTGCTATCAATGCCATTTGTTTTTTAAGTGCCGTCAACTGACACACACTTCGCTTACATATTTTTCTTCTCCACTCAGTCTTGGGAATATAAACGCTGCATCCATGAATCTTGACAAACGCTGCATCTATGAATCTTGACATAGGAACCAGTATTGCGCTGGTCGCGGCTTGCACGGAAGAAAGAGACTTGAAAGGCTGTGCAAAAAAAAAAAAAAAAAAAAAAAAAAAAAATCGCAACACGGGATTTCATTTTTCTACAATCTCGTAAATCCTAAATGCTGCTGTATGCTCATTTCATAACACGTTTCTAGAACGCGCGAGTTCTTGAAGCTTGCTTCCATCGGAATGAGAAAAGAAAAGGCTGTGGAGTTTGATAACAATGCATCCGGTTTCGTATAGGCACTTAGAAGCTAACATATTTGTGAGACAGCGAACTCTTCTATTTTAATATTTATCCTATTACGTCCTTCCGGCGTTGCGTTCGGTGAAGTGTTTTTCATATTCCGTATATTGTTTAATGAAAACTTCTTTAAGGGTCTAATTTGAGTTACCGAAGGCTAGTTCAAATAAAGAAAGCTGTATTTTCTCCCCACTGTTCCTTCAATTGCTTACACGCCGAGGTGGCGGGATAGTTAGCGAGTTTACTTGTAAGTGGGTTTGTAAGGAGGTCGCGGATTTTGCAGGTACTGCGTCGGACCCAATTAGATGAAGTCCGATTGCGTAAACGTCGGTGGTAACCTTTGAGTGCACAGAAAGAAACCATTCCTGGTAGAAATCCCTGAGCCTTACACTACGATGTATCCCTTTTCGTATGTGCTGATTTCAGATGTTTTATTTGTAATTTATTTTAATGTTGCAATTTGTCATTTATAATTTCTGAACCGGTTCGCGGATTGAATTAGTCGAACCGGAACTGAACCGGGACAAAATAAATTTACCTGAACCTGAACCGTAACCGAACCCGTATTTTTTTCGGTTCGACACACTGATATATATATATATATATATATATATATATATATATATATATATATATATATATATATATATATATATATATATATATATTTTGTAAAAGGTTTGCGGTCAAGTTTTTTTAACAAGATGTTATATGACAAAGATGTTTCCTACGAAAGGTTCTCGGACAATTTTCTGGTATTTGACAAAAGTTCAGTTACCTTACTCTTGTCAGAAGAGGGCCGTGTCTGATTTATGCTAAATGTGGTAAAAAAATTCCTCTTTGAGATGCACTTCTGCCGAGTCAGTTGGAATGCTTGAAAGGGAGGCGGTTGTCTGCCCCCACACCGCTGTTTACAGCACTTTGTAGGCCGACAACCACCTCTCTTGATTCTCTTTCATGGTAATCATTCAGAATGGATACTTGGGCGTGTTGGTAAGTCATGATTATTTAAAACGTACAGCGAAACAGACGGGTCGGAAGAAAGGATACAAACAGCAGCAGACAAACAACCGAGGCAAACAATCCGCGGTTGTTTGTCTCCTTTCTTCCGTCCCGTCTGTTTCGCTGTACGTTTTAAATTATGATGGTAATCATCTTAAGGTGGTTTTGATTTTCATGTTTAAGTGGTCTTGATCACGGGAATCAAGTTTAAGTGGTTTTGATTTTTATGTTTAAGTGGTACCTATCTTACCCATTTCGGTTCATTTGAGAAAAATAATTTAATTCCCTGTTCCACGGGTCTATTAGAAACGCTGAGTGGGTAAGGTAGCCCGAAGGAAAATCGGGTTTCTTCTCAAAACTGTATTTAAGTTATCGGGCGCCTAGGTCGTGGTTCTGCGAATATGAACGTTGGAGGTGAATACCGAGTTTCATGCAGTGGCGTGTCAATGTTTGTGGCAAACGTGTATCTGGACAAGAGTCGTATATTTGCAGAATTGGTTTCTTAAATCTGCCGGCTTCTTGAAAACATCGGCACTACCGATTGAATTATATGAGATTGCCCACTCAAAATGAAAACATGGCGAAAAATATCGACGCTTTGCCGCAGCTGCGCATGGGCGCTGTCATAACGGACCTTCGGTTTTTGTTTCCTCTTATTCACTTCACTTCATCATTACCACGCAGCAGAACAGGTTATTGCCATTTTAAATTCTATACTGTGTCCTTTCCAGCCTTGGCCTTTGTCGAGGCTCGTGATCGCCCGTTTGAGTGGCTCGGTAACACACGCGAAGGTCAGCAATGGCAGCTGTAATCGGGCGTGGTGATGTTTGGGGTGCAACAGTAAACTTGTAGCAAAACTTAGGGGCACGCGCTCAAACCACATGAAACGGGAACTGATTGAGCAGGTCGCGGACGTGACAATTATTCACTTTCCACAGTGCGACAAACACGCGGAAATTCGTTACAAACTCCCGTGTCGCGGACGAAACAGATGCGTTCTCCACGGCGCGAGAAACGCGCGAGAAAACGCTACAAACTCGGGTGTCAGAAACCGATATTGCGCGCGCAGTTCGCGAACAGAATACGCTGGAACCCGCTACGAACTTTCATGTCACACACACACACACACACACACGCACACGCACACACTCACACTCACACACACTCTCTCTCTCTCTCTCTCTTTTTTTTCTTTTTTTTTTCTTCGGCTAGATACCGCGCTTGCTAATCGCGGATAAAAAAAAAAAGCGGGAAACAGCTTCGAAGTTGGAACTCGTACGTCGCGGGAAGGAATCTTGCAGATCGCGGACGTGGCAGATTCGTGCGATCAACGCACGGGAACCCGCCACGACCGCGCTTGTCACACGCACCGCTACCGCAGATCGCGCGGTTCATGCGATCTCCGTCGGACATCGCGTGCCATCCGACGGGAATAGGGGGGTGGCGGTGTTTCGAAATGGGGCAGGATTGAAGAATAAGCATGCGAGACAAGGATAACAGAACCACACATCTTTCAGATGTGGTTGTGTTGACTTGCATGTTTTATTCTTTCTTCAGTCTTGACCCGCACCAACATGTTTTTCGTCCATCAACAACAGAATGGGTGATCTCTTAGGGGAGGGCGTTCTACGGGATTTTATGGTAACATACTCAACAAATTTATGACCTCAAGAAATGATCCCTTCAGATTTCGCATCATAACTAGGAAGCATTACCATTGAATGTTGCAAGCAACAATGATAGGCACTGATTGGTTGGTTGATTGGCCCTTACAGCTGCCAATGATTGTCACTGATTGGTCTTGGATCTGATGATGATTAGAACATAGTTTTATTTGAAGATAATACATTTTGAAAGTACAATAGCGAGCCGGTGAAAGCCTCAAGGGCTTGTGGACCTGGCTTGGCAGGTGGCAATTGTTAGTGATTGGCCTCAAAGGCAACAATGATTGTCACTGATTGGTTGGTTTATTTGTCCTTACAAGTGACGGTGATCGTCACAAATTGTTTGGGTGATTTGCCTTGCCTTTTATGATGATTGATGCTTATTTGTGTTGAAGGTGACATGATTGCCACTGATTGTTTGGTTGATTGGCCCTTACAAAATGGCAGTGGTTGTCAGCAATTGGTTGGTTGGGTGATCGGCCCTGTGTGCGATGATCGATGCTTATTGGCCTTGAAGATGATAATGATTGTTACTGATCAGTTGGTTTATTGGCTCTTACAAGTGACAGTGAATGTCACCAATAGACCATTTTCAGTATTCCCAAGCGCCCCGGCCTGCACTCAAGGAATCATGGGAACGGTGTTCGTGCAGCTCCCAAGTGATATCTAATTTTTGAACAACTCCATGGTTACACAGTTTCTGAGCGTAATTCGAGGTCACCCTGAACAAACACCTGGTATACTCCAAGGACCTGTCATATCACTTTTAAAATTGCTCGTCAACGTCAGCATTTTTGATACTGCGCATGTGGTCCACCTTTCAACCTGGCTGAGCTGCAGAAGTCTCTTACAATATTATCATTCTCGTGATTGTTGTCTGAGCAGGAATTGCTTAAAAAGCCGATAATTCACAACAACAAAAAAAAAACCAGTATTTAACTCGGAGTCCTTGGGGCTGTTAATAGCATTTTTAGCGTTTCTAACTTAATATCAGCATGATAATAATGTAAGAGATTTCTGCAGCCCATCCAGGTTGAAGGGTGGACAGCATGCACGGTATCAAAAACGCTGACATTGAGGAGAAATTTTAAAAGCGATATGACAGGTCATTGGGGTATATCAGGCGCTTGTTCAGGGTGACTCCGAATTATGCTTAATACCTGTGTAACCAAGAATAGGGCTGAAATTACTGATCACTAGGGAGCTCAAGGAACGCCGTTTCCATGATTCTTTTAGCGCGGACCGGGGCACTTGGGGGATATAGCAAATGGTCTATTGGTTGGGTGATTCGCCTTACCTGTGATGGTGATTAATGCTGATTGTCCTTGAAGGTGACGATGATTGGCACTGATTTGCTGGTTGATTGGCTTTTCCAGGCGTACGAGCGCCGTTTCCCGACCTGCCCGATGATCCCCGTCTTCCTGGGGAGCGATACCGTGATGGAGTACAAGAGCGAGGACGGCGCGGTGCACATCATAGAGCGACGCTGCCGCCTCAACGTCGAGGCCCCCTACCTCCTCAAGAAGGTACGTCCGTGCCTCCAGACCACGTCGGTAAATCCCAGGAGGAACATTTTTCAGTCATTATTTTTGACACAAAAGTTGTTTAGGGCTGCCTAATCCACAGGAAATATAGCGAAAATGTGTGACATGTTATCAAGACACAGTGTGTTTGAGGTAGAGGTGTGCGAATAGTGACAGTTCAACTCGGATCAAATTCCAATCAAATAGTGTCGAATAGCTGCCAAAATGTCGAATCATACCTGAGTACTGAAATCTATTCGCAATGTTCGCGACACTAAAAATTGGCCCGTGTTCTTTGCGGCATTCCGGTACCGACTACGTCGAAATGCGGTAGCACTGCTCATCTTGTACGAAGGCTATATTCCGCCTATTAAGTTGCGACAAACCCTGCGGCGGGAAACTAACCATCGGATGTCCGTGCTTTAGCATTCTGTAAAGGTGGTCACACTCGGCGCATCACGGCTGCTGTTCAGCTTTCACTGTTTAGTCCGTTTTTTCCTCTTGCAAAGCATTCTAAATGCTGTGGCACGTCCAGCGAGCCCCTCGCGTTCAGACCCGCGCACGTGCGCAATGAAGAGAGGACAACGGCCCATGATAACTAGCGCTTCACAGGTATACCGGTTGAGTGCCGTGCTCAAAATCTCTGAATCCTAGGCTCAGTCCTCCTTGAGGGAAGTTTGGCAGTTGGTTCTTCTCAGCTTATCCACTTACTGGTTCCCCTCAAGTGTGCACGCCCTTACGCGTTGCCGAGCAAAAGTTTCCGTTTCCGGCCGAAGAAAGAAAATCACATTTGGAAAATCTGCACAGATGAAAAAAAAAAAGCCTTACATGTTTATTCTTTTGCACTGCGGACAGAACGATGTGAGGCGAGCACGAATAAAAATGGCGTTAATGACCACATTTATGCGACAAACTTTGGGAGTCATGCGCCAGGGGGATACATCTTTTAATTACTCTAAACGACTTCATTTTCGCAGGCTCAAATTTTCGTGGGCTCAAATTTTCGCGAATTGGGCCAAAGCTGAAAATTTGAAATTATTCGCGGGTTCTAATTTTCGCAAATCAAGTGTAGCTTCCGGAGCCTTGACATATTGCCCGAATTGTTCGCGGGACATTATTTTTCGCGAATTGTAGGTGATTCGCAGAGTTCGCGAAAATTACGTCCTCATGAAAATTTAGTTGTTTACATGCAGTGTATACGGTAACTGAATGAAATTTTTGCAGTTTATCGTGCTTGATATTCTTTGTATAAATCTGGTGTTAGTTCTAATATAACTTGTGTTTTGTGTTCTAGATGCTATGCACATGCAGAAGAACTGCTCCTTTTAATCTACCGAGTGCAATGAAAAACAAAAATATTGTGTGCGAGACCTATTCTATTCTAAGATAATTGAAGATAGCAAAAACACTATTTTTAAAGGGCTTACGAAAGTTTCTTAAACTGGTTATAAACATAAAATATATGTATTCTAACAAAACTTTGATAGTTGAATTTGAAAAGGTGTTCGAGACAAATCAGTCTTAAAAAGTAATGTGTTACTAGTAATGCATTACTGTAACTTTGTTACTTTTTTAGTAACTTGTAACTGTAACGAGTTACTTTTTAAAGATGTGACTTGTAACTGTAGTTCTATTACTTTTTCTGAAGTAACGATGAAAGTAACGGCATTACTTTTGTCGTTACTTTTCAGTTTTCTATGAATAATATATATCATTGAACGAGTACAATCTAGCTTTTCGTTGAACCTTCTAAATTGTGCATTCCGACATTTCGAGTGTCAAGTTGGCCTTGCACAAACACATTTTTTCTCGCGAGTCACGACCCGAATATAGCCACGTGTATATTTGATGAAAAAAAAAATCTAGTTATCTTTAAAACGGGCTTGTGCTTTGTGACTCAACGCTTACACCTTAGTATCTTAAAGCACTATCTATTTTGCGGTTTTTCTTTTTTTTTTCTGCGCAAACACTTTTTAATTGGGTGAATCAACCGTGAAACTACAATACACGCGGAGCTTACTGCTCATTCTTGAGCAAGTCGCAGATTGTTTATCATGCATAGGTCTGCTGTCGAATCTCATGGCCGCAGAAGCACAGTGCAGCCGGTTAGCTTCACCGTATTGTTGAGGAACAAAATTTGGGAAAAGTCCGGATTTATTTTGTCGACCTTGTACATATGCCAAATTTGATGTTGTTAAAGACGGAATTAAGAACAAGAATTATTGTGCAAACTGTGCAGATGCCCTAAAGTTAGGTAAGATAAACACATTAGAATGTTGTCATAGGTGTGTAGCAACTCTCTTGCAACAAGAAAAGTATTTTTTTGTGGATAATTTATTGCATGAAATTAAGCTACAGAAGTCTGCAATGGAGAGAAGATGGCCAGGCCTACTTCTAAACACAAGTGTGATGGCGGGCAACGTCACAGTTTGATGAACTAACTGCTCATACAAAGATGGCTCAAATTTATGCCATTCTGGGTTGCCAGTTGTTCTTCAAATGCGTGTTTAACTAATTTCGTGACCATGCCTGGTCCTTACTATTTTTATACAAAAATTATAAAGATTCAAGGATAATAAAACACCACAATACCCAAAATATGATTAAAAAATATATTGCCTTTTTTTTTTATTTGCATTTTCTTCAAGACATAGCTGACGAATGTGTCCACCCAGCCACGTGTAAATTCGCAGCTTGCAGAATAAAAAAAAAAAAAAAAATTGGGTTGTGTGTGTGTTTATACAGCCTAGAACTTGGTCTGCCTCAACGAGTCTCCCAGCTGTAGACAAGAAATTTAGCCAGTGCAGTACAACCGCTAGCCTGGGTTCTTTAACGTGCATCACGCAGTAGAGATACATGACCGTACGCCAATACGATGCTCATCCAGATCGAAACGGGCAGGGGTGGGGATTGAACCCAGCATCCCTGGGTTCTGCAGCGAGAGCTTTCGCTCCACGTGCTCTGAGCTGGTGTGCGCTAGACCACTCGGCCACCGATCCCCCACAGCTTGCAGGATAAGGGGACAGATATGGGTGAATCGGGCAATGTCTTACGCTACTTAGCCCTAGCACCTCCCTCAATGCCACAGGGCGCGTTGAGTTCGTGGAAGAGGCCGGTTCAATTATCGCTGCTATTTTTATTTGACAGTACTTTGTCATATTATGGACGTAACAACTGAGAGTAGGCTTATAGTGCACAGAGCTGGTTGCAGGTGACTCATGACTCTTGAATTCAAAATTGCAACGAGCGTGGTTACAAGTTTTGTTTCGAGTGCATCCAAGAAGCTGGCATTGTGACTGCTTTGTTTGAGGAACACCCAGAATCCTTGACTAACAATGGATTGTTAGTCAAGGATTCTGAATGCAGGCTTGATTTAGATTCCACCTGTGAGGACTATTTCATTATATCAACAGCGTGAATGAACCCAAATTTCGACCCGCAGCACTGCTGTTCGATTAATCGAAGTGTTGGGCAACTCGAATACTAGGAATATGAAAGTTGAGTCCAATTGTTTAGCCAATCACGATTTGATTCAAATTCGTAACTCGAATGCTCACACACACCTGGTTTAAGGTCTGAGATCCCTGTGGAAGGTGTGACGGAATGTCACGGAGACCGTTGTGAGCGTTGCGTGGTCAAACGACCAAAAGATTTATAGTGGTGTCCCGCTGAATTTAGGAGGACATTAACCTGCCAAACTTAGCCGGTGACAATACGGTGCGGTAACGGCAATGGCCATGCAACGCAAATTCCAACTTTGCCTATGCTCAAATGCATTCTTCATTGTGTACTCTTTGGTCATATCTGGTCCTTGTGCCATTAAAACCTACTAAATCAATCAATCGAGCATTCTTCATCTATGGACAGGTGATGCATAACGGTCGTCTAATCTTTGCAGATCATTGGCGTGGACTTCGTCTACTTCATCCAGAAGAACTCACTCGACCGTAGGGCGCGGGTGCTCAAGATCGACGCCCACAACGAGAGCTTCTCCAGCCGCGTGGGCATCAACGAGAACTGCACATATTCGGTGAGTTTGATTTTAAAAAAGGTGCTTTCTTGATGCTGCGAGTCGTACTGAAGGGTGCCTTATGTTTCCTCCTTTCCTCTTGTTCCTTTGTCCGAGCTCCTTTTGCTTCAATATGAAATAATAAACGGTCTCGTCGTCTGTTGACACAAGACCGTTTATTATGACCGAGGCTACATATTATGAGCGAGACTTCATGACTACTGAGGCTATGCATTGCAGCCTAGGCTGCATTAGCACCGAGACAAGGCATTACGATCGGCACTGTACATTACAACTGATACTATGCATTACGACTAAGGCTGCATTACGACCGAGACTGTTTGCTACGATTGCCACAGGTTCACCCTGAGAACCCGGAATGGACCTGCTTCGAGCAAAGCGCGTCTTTGGATGTCAAGTCCTTCTTCGGGTTTGAGAATGCCGTCGAGAAGCTGGCCATGAAACAGTACTCCCAGAACATCTCCAAGGTGAAGAAGCTGTTCCCTTCGTTTCCGCTCTGGCTCATCTGTGGGCCAATAGTTGATTTTGAGTTAAAAGTTTTCGCCGAATATTCTTTAATCGAACATCAAACAGTTTTTCAAAGCCCTTCACTACTGCACCATGTTTAAAAACCCAACTGAAGTTGTTCAGCTTTTTCTTAAACTTCCGCACGCCCATTTTTAAGCCAAGTTAATTTTAATCCAGCTATACTTACGAACTGTGACCTCAGAATGTCCAGTGCCGGCATTGTGATTGCAAGTAAGCGACGCGTTTGACCGAAAAGTAAACCTATGCGGAGTGCAAGGTCGTCGGCTTCTTTGGCAGGGGTTGCAATGATGTCAGAATGCAGAGCTCTTATTGGCTGTTTAAAAAAAATAGTGGGTAGACCTCAAGGCATCTAGCATTGAGGTCTTGCCAATCCTTCCAATGAGAGCCAATCAGAGCTTGTTGTCATTTTGTTGTCACCGCAATTCCTGCGCAAGAAGCAGACAACTTGCTCTCTGCATACAAATGCCCAGCCACATCTTATAGAGGGGATTTATACATCTTGCTTTATTCAAATATTCTTTCTGCAATCTCAGATTTCAAAATTAAAAAATAAGACATTACCGGTAATTATGAACGGAGGTCGTCGGGGCATCTCTGCCCGACATATAATTTTGAAAATCGTACTGCAAGGGAGCTATCAACGTTCATGAGGTGTCCAATTTATTTTAAAATACCCGAGGTGTGCACCTGCACTGTCCCACTTTCAATGTGTGCATTTCTCCTAAGCACGCGACTGCAATATTTGTACTTTTCGAAGTGATGGTCGCGGCAGGTTAGCGCCGTCAAGCGTGCTTCTTTCCGAGCACCGATGCACCGCGAAGTAGCAACACCCACGGTAATGAGCTCCGTGTCTGTTGCCTCTCTGCAGTGCATTGATGCTCGACAAGTCATACTTGCTGCGATCAACCTTTTGAAAAATATAAATATTGCAGTTCATTTTTAAACGAATATTGTATTATTCAAAACTACATCTAACTCCTGGTTAGCTCAGTTGGTAGAGTGCCTCACTGGAGATGGAGAGGTCCCTGGTTCGATACCAGGACCATGCAGATTTTTCTAATCGTGCAGCAGTGTTCGGAGATTTGTGTTTTTCCTTTGTTTTCTTGTTTCCTGTCTCCAGGGAGTATTACTGTTATTCTTGTCCTCGTAGTATGATGTGTTACCGAGCTAATTTATGCCAGGATTCGGGGGCATGCAGTAATAATGCGGAACGGAAGAAGTTGGGATCAGCGAATGTAACAAGGGAGTTGGGTAGTCTGTACCCCATACATATAGCTGCGATACAATGCCTGAAACGTCCTTCCTACTGGTGTTTTTACCATATCCCTGTTGTTGTCCCGTGATTTCTGCTTGATGACATCGTAGAAGCGAAATTCCGTTGCCCGCCACGATCTTGGCATCTGCATAGCGGCGGAGGTGGTTGTGGCAGACGCTTGTTCTGCCGAAGGTCGCTCTCTTGCTTGACACTTCGCTGAAACTTAAGCAGTCAAGAGGCTAGACGTTGCGACAATTGGGCAGGAGATCGAACTATAGGGGGCGCTCTGACCCGTTTGTTTTCCCCACGCTCGGTGTTTACTCAACACAAGGCCTGTGCACATGCCGACAGGCCTTATGGGCATGGCCATGTCATCTTCTACAATAGAGCGCGAAGCACAGTTTAATGTAAAAAATACTAACAATCAACGAAGCGACGTTAAGTGCCGGATCTATCTTCAGAGAATGCGAGCTTGGCCCACTTCGGCTTTTATGCTGAGCTGAGATCGTGCATGCTGCACTGTTCATGCAGGCCGTAGTGGAAATAAAAGAGCCCCTCCTCCACCTCGCCGGAGAGCACGAACTCCAGCCGAACGCTGACGCTGCGTTCGGTATTGTCGGCCGAGCGCTGAGTCATTGTATTTGTTGTCCCCATCCATGTAGTTGTTAAGTTAACCGCTTGGGGCGCCACGGTCTGTCCTCCTCCCCAATAGCAACGCTCTTGTTTGCTGTCTTTTTTTACAGCTGAGCTGTTAAGGGCTAGTTTGCCCAGTATTGTGTTCGTGGACAAACAAATGTCGGCACAAAACTTCAGACAGCTACCGCCATCTATGAACGACGGTGGCAACCAGACAACTGGGTTGCCAGTTGTCTGGTTGCCACCATTGCTCATAGATGGCGGCAACCTTTCCAGCCTTTCCGCTCTGGTTTTCGCCAGAGTAGAAGGGCTGAATTCCTCTAGGCGTCGTCCTGGAAGTTGTCCTGGAGGTCGTCCTAGAAGTCCTTGAGGTCGTCCAAGGAGTCGCCCTTGAGGTCATCCTAGACGTCGTCCTCTAGGCATCGTCCTAGACATCGTAAAGATATCAAGCTTCAATGGTCCTTCATCTTCACGTGAAGTGGAGGGGCTCCACATTTCTTTTCCTGAACTTTTACGACCAGCTGTTATTATTGTTTGTGTGCTGCGTGTATGTTTATGCAGCTGGAAGCTAGTCAGCTCCCATTGGCGTCTGGTGTCTTGGCTGTAGACAAACAATTTAGTCAGTGCAGTACGACCGCTGGCCCGGGGTCTTTGCCGTGCGCTAGGCGGTAGTGATACACTACCACGCGCCGGTACGATGCTCGTCCAGATCGATGAGCGTTGTAGCAGCAAGTTCGCTGCACATTTGACAGCATGGCACGCCAGCTCCTTGGATGCAATTTGCCGCCGGTTCAGGACCACTTTCGACGCGAGGGAAGTACGGGTGCCAAATACTCCCATCAAAGACGGGCTCCAGGCACCATAGATGTGACTCACCAAAAAGGAAAGATTTTTCCTGAAAGAAAAAAAAAAAAAAGCGACTTCATTGTTAAGAGGTTTTGCCGTAGGTAACCAGAGCACAAGTGTGCGAACGGAAGACAAAGTTAAGGGCTGGTCCACGCACTAGCGACAGCTTACGGCCGAGTGCATTACAAGTAGGGTTCCACGTTTTCGGTTTTTTTTCTTTCTAATTTTGACATGTTATTCTGAAAATAGGTTTTTTTTCTCTCAGGTTCTGTGTTTTTCGGTATAAATTTTTGGTGTTTGGCAAAAATTTATGTATCATCGGGGTTGACGTTGGAACAAAATAGGACACAGGCGTAGGATTCCTATACCTTGAGGGAATGTATGTGTTCCCCACTTACTCGGAAAACTTTCCCGTACCGATAAGAACAAGAATGGAGATAAAATGTGCGGCTTTGAAGCAGGAAACAGCCTCGCGGACAGTTTGTCGGTGGAAGGGGGGGGGGGGGGGGGGTTGATTGGGGATTGTGTTTTGGGTTGGCGCAATACAGAGCTCCAGACAAATATTCTCTTTTCGTAAAACTTATTTGAGGACAGCTCCGATTTGTGGTTTCTTATCAATTCTCCCCTATTTCGATGAGATCTGGGTTGGGGGGCTATAATTTTTGAGGTTTGTCAGAATCTGCCGAAAACGCAGGACCTTAATCACAATCTCTTTTGATATCTTATGATAGAACGACGCGCCGCCGCTGTCTGGCGCCATATACGAGGTGGCCCCGGAACTGCTTTTCACTAGAGCAAAGGTTTCACTGTACTCGCGGGATCAAATGGACATACTATCTGTGAGCATGGTAGTTTATAACATAGTCGACAGTTTATCGAGCCCATGCAGGGTGTAAGCTCGTCTGGTTCTTGCGCAGGAGTTGCGGTGGCCTCAGAAGGATGCCGAGCTCTGATTGGCTACGATTGAAGAATAGTGATTAGACCTTAAAGCAAGCTGCATCGAGTTCTACCCAATATCCTTCATTCAAAGCCAATCAGGTTTCGGCACCCTGACGTCACATCAACTCGCGCAAAGGGAAGCAAACGAGCTTACACTCTGCATAGTGAAGAAATGATGCCTGAAGGAAAAAAATGAAATTTCTACAACTTCCTGTAATGCTGATTTAGAATGCAGCTCTCAAGGAGGTGGAGGGGAGAGTACTGAGGCGAGGGTATGCCTCTCCTCCTCCTCTTTTCACGCACGAAATGCGTGTCGTCACACGACGTTTTGGTGTGGTGCCGAAACGTCACATGATGCTTCGGCACGTGACTCCCACCGAAACGTCACTCGCGACGATTTGGCACGGTGCTGAAACATCGCCATGCCGAAACGTCGTGAGTGACGTTTGGGCACCGCTGTGAAACATTGAGTGACGTTTTGGCATGGTGCATTATGGGACGTTCCCCATAATGTACCGTGCGGTTCTGCCGACGTGTCGTGCCGAAACGTCACTCGCGACGTTTCGGCACGGTGACGTTTCGGCACGGTGACGTTTCGGCACGGTGACGTTTCGGCACGGTGACGTTTCGGCACGGTGCATTATGGGACGTTTTCCATAATGCACCACGCAGTTACGCCGACACCACTCAAGCTGGAAACCGGTGCCTAAGAGCTGCACTCTAAAACAAGAAATGTAGAGAGATCGCGAGTGTTCCACCCTAACCTGATAAAGAGCACTGGCACATTCTCTGGTCCTAAGCCAGGTCCCAAGGGCCGGTTCGCACACATAGGACTGCTTACGATTGAGTGCCTCGAAATCTATTCCGACGATAGTACACTCGCGGTTTCTGCATATTTCCTTTTTTCTTTCTTTTTTTGTGCAGTATTTTCTTTTGCAGCGGAGCTGGTAAGGGCTCGGTTCCCCAGGATCGTGTACACTAGCAAAAAAATGACGACACCGAACTCTGGACAGCTACCGCCATCTATGAGCGACGGCGGCAACCAGACAACAGGTTGCTGCCGTCGCTCATAGATGGCGGCAACCTTTCTTCGGAGAAAGAACGGGAGCGGAACGAGCGGCGATATGCGCAGCAGCGCAAATGGTTTCGCAACCGTTACAAGGCCTCTATCGCCTAAAGTTCCACTGCATCGAGCGCTTTAGATTTCCTTGCGAAAGAAGAGCAGATCACTTGCCTGGAGAGCCACCGTCGGGTACAGAAGCTACAGCTCCGCTGTTCTTCCTCCTTCACCAGAGTGGAAAGGCTGAAAGTTTTTATTTGAAAAGCTTTTGACAATATTATAAACAACCCTTTCTTATAGATGGTAGATACATTTGATCTTGCAAATCCTGCAAAAACGTTGCCCTAGTGAGATTCAGTTCCAGGGCCTTTTCATAGACGTCACCAGCGTGCCGGCAGGTTTTCTCATCGTAAGAGATCGCAAGGGCTGGGTTGTAAGCAGTCGCGAGTGTGTGAACCGGTTTTTACACTCCGCACAATGGTTGGAAGAAAAAATTTAACAATTTTTGTTACATCTCTGTGTTTTTGTTCTAGGGCAAAGAGATCATAGAGTACTACATCAATGAGCTTCACAAGGAAGGCATCACCTACCTGCCCCCGTTTCAAGAGAAAGACGGCAGCGGGGACGCAGACCGACCCGCCGTTGAGGCCGTCGCTGTCAGGAGGAGGTCGGCCGGGGAGAAGGCGGCGCCACCGTCTGCCGCTGCAGCTGCCGAGGCCCCGTCTGCTCAAGGTCGGCAGACGATGTCGGCCCTCCTTTTACTGGCCTTGGCCCCGACCAATGTTACTGTGGTCATAAATGGCTTGAGAAACGTGGGTTTCGGTGGCTTCCTAGCATCTTAATTAACCTCGTCAATACGTTCCCAGTTTTTGCGACTTGCCGGCTTTTACATTCAGAAGCGCCGGTTCCACTGAGCTCCCAGGAACGCGTGTATTAATTTCTTGCTTAGTGCATTTGCTTCCTAGGTTCTTTTGTCCAAAGAGCCGTTGACATATTGGCGGCGGCACCGGCCGTTGGCGAACTTGTTTTGTCGTGGACGCGGCAACTTTGCGTTTCACGGTGCTCTAAGTAAGGAGAAATTTGCCACGAACTCCCCTGCCATAAGAATGAATACCACAAAACGCGGACACAGCACATTTTGGCTTCACAGTGCGATAGACACGCGAGAACCCGCTACAAACTAGGGTGTCACGAGAACCGAGCGCGCGCAGATCATGGACAAAGGTGTGGGAACCTGCCACAAACTTGCGTGTCATGGGAACAGATATTGCGGATTGCGGTCGCAGCAGATTCGCATGTCGCAGAGTGATAAACACGAAGGAACCCGCCGAACACATCGATACCGAAGATTGCGCGGTTAATGCAATTCCCTGCAGAGATCGTGTGATTGTTATTCGGCGAGAATTGGGGGTTGAGCAATATTTTGTGATTTTTATGTTATGGACATTCAGCTCCAAAATATGGGATGGGCGATATCTCTGGGGGGCGGGCGTTCATACGGGACCTTATGGTAAAAGTGTAGTTGGTGTTTTATTTATTGTTCAAGGAGCAGTGGATCTTTTTCGAACCCTTTCACTCCTCCATTTGTTGACAGATGCCAACCTGAAGTTGGAGTCTGAGTACATTGAGCGCTGCCTGGGAGCACTCACCCCGTACCAAGAGTCCTGCCTGGTCATGCTCCAGAAGTGGATTGCCAACGCTCACCAGGGCAAGGTACGACACCTCTCACCCATTCTACTCAGCAACAGTGTCTCTGACAAGCACCATCTCTCGTCTCCTTTATTTTGGGGATGTGGGAATATAAAAATTTTTGAGTTCCAGTCGAATCTGAACTGATTCAGATAATGCTAAGAAGTGTTCTTCGAATATCTAATTGAATTTTTATTAATTTTATAGGGGTGTGGGGGGTTGGATCAATAGGCACACCCAATTGCATGGACCCTCGCCTTTCTGCTCAATTTGCACGTCCACTGTACTCTTTTTCTTTTTTTCTGAAATACAGTAAAAGCATGGTGTATGCGAATAATGAAACAAAAAGCAGACAAGACTTTAGAGAGACTGTTATGCAGCTTTCTCCTCTTTAAAGCTAATATCATATCGTGGCTGCACTCTAAGGTCACCTTGAAATGACGTAGCCCTAAAACATTATACAAGCACAATCACGCTGACAAAGACTGGTAAACACAGAATGTGAGATACGCCTTCCAGGGAAGAGCACCACCATTGGAAGGTTTGTTCTCATTTCTGGTTCACGCCCCTAGATGGCACAACATGACGGGAAAGGTTGCGAACCATGCGGCCGCTTCATCGCGTGCCGCGCCAAAAGTTTCGCTTTTTGCTCTATCCGACCTCTGACCCGGGCTAGTTCGGTCGCCAAAGTACTTTCGTACAATCTCAAGATGGTGAGGTGAAATTTTGCCGGGGGACTGAAGTCTCTTTATATATGGTTCCCTATGGGCATAACGCTTTTCGGTGTCATTTTTTTCTTATAGCCGGCAGTTACAGCCATACTTTAGAGCCAGCCATTACAGCCGGTTGTTACAGCCAGTTGTTACAGCTAGCTGTAAAGGCCGGCTGTACGTTCGAGGTGCTCCAGACGGGGCAATTTCTCCCAGTAACTTGTTGTCGCAACACCGGCAACACGGGCTGCCCGCGTTCACACGCAGCAACCAATTTGTACGATTTGCTATCACCGTTGTTCAATTTGATTTTTTTCGCACTATTTAAACACAATTATGCGCTATAAACATGCTTTTATACCTTTTAATGGCATTGAGAATACTAACTCGCCTTTCTGAAACAATTTATTCCAAAAAACAATCAATTTCATTTCAAAACCCAGTCTTCAAATGGCTCGCAAGGGCTTACCTAGGTATCTTCTCGGTATTGAAACCACGGTCGCAACCACGACGGATGCACAATTCACAGAGCAGCGCAGCGTGGCTGCTTTTACAGGATCCAACATTTTTATTCGGCATCAACACGCACAAGCAAAGAAATCAAGCCAGATCAAGCAACATAGTTGACGTGGGATGTCAGGCTTAGGTCACTCTTGTTATGAAAACAAGCATCTTCACAGCGCTTCCGAAGGCACATACTTGCGACAGTTGTTCGCTGCAAACTACGTCAGTTGAGGAGATCTTTCTCTAAACACCTCTATGAACTCAAAGCTAGTCGCACTCATAAAAATAGACGAGCTTAATGAACATTGAACGCTGAGCCCTCCGCAGACGCCAGCAGCCACATTTGTTATCGTTTCAACCCAAAGCGGAAAGAACAATCTCGGAATACTTTTAGAACTAGCATAATGACTCTATCTAGATTATTTGTTTCTCAAACAAAAAAATTGTACATTAAAAATGAAAATACTATTATGGCCAGAAGGTACAATTTTACAACCAACCCTTCAGACTGCAATCATCTCTCCTGCCTAGGAAAGATGTAAGCACGGGGTGGGGCTTTACGGGCTGCGACATCCATCTCCTGCACCAAAACTGTGTCTAGCAACGTAAATATTTGTACAAAAACATTTATTTTTCATGGTCAAATTTTTTTTTTTTATATGTGTCCTATACACCAACTCATGTTTACAAACAAACCGGAGCGCCCCTAGCGGACGCCACCGGCGCCGCGCATGCGCGGTGGATGGTGGGCAAAAAGCCCGCCGTCGCTCATAAACAAGCCATTGAATTGCGTTGTTGTCGGCGTCGGTGGAAGTCCCCGTGCTCTTTTTCGCGTTGGAATTGTTTATTCTACGTTCTCCTAACAATGTCTGACTACTTGAGCGGCTTCGGGAAAACTAACGAGGCAAAACTTTGCGTGAATAATGTGACGTGCGGCGATTCATTTCACGTGGACGCCGCAGAATGGGTGCTAAAACCTGACTCCCACGATGAGATTCTGCTCGCCATTTTCAGTCACGACGTCGCTCGGACTGCAAAAGCGTGGACCGTAGCTGAGATGGCGGACGTCGATACTGAAAACCGCAAGTAGAATCGGGCATTACAAGTCGGTGATGGCCACTGGTAACAATGATCAACATCTTCTTGTGTCTATTTACACTTAGCCTACTTACGCCAACCAACCTTCAAAAGTGTTTTGAGGCCTGCACTTAGTTCTTATCGCAATTACCGGGTCAACGCTTGGTTTACGGGCCGCTGTCGTTTGAACGAGCTGACGACAAAAAGCAACTAAGTTTGAAAGAGCAGACGACAGTTCGAACCCGTTCGCAATGGAGTACGGGCAAGAAGCACCGCATCCCGCGTCAACAAACCATTCGAATGTCACGTTGTCGGCGTCTGTGTGAGTCTGCGTACTCTTTTTCGCTTTGGAATTGTTGATTCTACGTCCCCCATCGCAATGTCTTACCACTTTAATCCCCTGAGCAAAATTATCAAGGCTCGTTACGCTGCTAAACTTTCCGTAAATAATTTGACTTGCGGCGATTCATTCGCGTGAACGCCGCAGAATGGACGCCAAAACCATGATGAGATTCTTCTAGCTATTTTTGGTCGCGACGTCGCTCGTGTTGCAAAAGTGTAGAAGGTGCGGCGATGATCGACGTCGATGCTGAAAATCGGAAGCGGGAACAGAGCAAGCGTATCAAGTCGGTGATGGCCACCGGTACCAATGATCAACATCTTGTATCTACTGTTTGCACCGAGCCAACTTAAGTCTTTTGAGGCCTGAAATTACTTCTTAGTGCAATCACCGGGTCAAAGTTTGGTCTACGGGCCGCTTTTGTTTGAACGAGCAGACGACAAAAAGCAGGCAAGTTTGAAAGAGCAGACGAAAGTTCGAACGATCAGCCGGCCGTGTGAATTGGAAGACGCACTGAACCCGTGGGTGGTCCGGACAACTTGGAGGTTTTCTCTTGTTCATGTTGGAACAAAGCAAATACACCTGGCGACCACAAAGTGTTGCCCGCACAAGCAATCGTAGTTCGACAGCGTCTGGTTTGCCCTTGTCACGGCTAATATCCACGTTCTCGGACGAACGGAGGGCGGAAACACATGAAAACTGATCTTCAAACCTTTCCAGACTCTCTTGGTACAGTTCCCGCGCAGCATTTTGACGAGAAGGCAGGTTTTTTGTCTCGTTTCTTCCAAAGGAACACAGGAATGCATGTCTCGCACGGCGACTTCTGCCCACCGCCCCAGACCGGAAGTGCGTCCGGCGCGCCACCACCGCGGCGTGACGTAGGAGAGTTGAGTTGGTGTATATAAATTGTTTTAGAAAAAAAATCTTTTTTTTCTTCATTTCATTGCTTTCTTGATGCTAAATCGAGAGAGGCATCGTTACGGGCAGTGAGTTGCTTTACATCCGACAGTACACGTAAATTAAGTTCTACAGTGACGATTGTATATCAGTGTTCCCACCAACCATTGTAATCACTAAAAAGTTGTCTTTCAGAGCTGTCTTACTTCTCTCATACGGACCACTGTCATAAAATAGATGTCCCTCACCGTTGGACTAACACATTTCCCCATTTATTTATACCAAAGACCAGCGTCGAACGGACCTACCCGCCCACCTCAGTCTCTGCAATCACCGAAGCATCAGATTTCAGAGTCGCCATCACAGATCATTTTCTCTCCTATACTCGTTTCACCGTGACTTGCCGAATCGCGAAGGCTGCGGTCCCACTGACCCAATTGGGGCGTCGGAGAGAGACACTTGATCGTACTCCCATCTTATTAAACTCGGGGACAACTTTTCTTGGCATTTCTGAGGAAAGGAGGCGAGTGCACGCTCGGCTTTAAAGGGACCATGAAATGACTTTTTCACTTTTGCCAGATAACTTTCACATTAAACCTTCCAACGTTCACTGAATGCCGAACAGGCGTCTGTTTTCGTCTCGGTTTATTAACTTCTACACAAAAAATTAATGAAATATTGACTTTATCTTTCTCTCCAACTGACTGCAAAACAGGTTGCGGCGTAATTTTGACGGTTGTGACGTACTCTGGCACAGGAACCGGAAGTTTTCTTGGCAGTAGGAGAATGGGAGCGTTAGCAGTGGTGAGTTGGGGGTGCGCCGGTAGGTTTTACTGCGCTGATGGTGCCGACATATTTTCTTAATCGGCGCTTCTCACCCCCGCGATAGCCATGGACACATCGCAGCTTAGTGAAATTCAATGAGATATCTTGCACTACAGCGACACCATGGGACTAGTCCCATACGCCGGTATGCCTGTTAGGAAGTGCGGCGAGTCTTCCGGTGAAGACTCCAGAAGTCCACCCAGCTGTCCTTGTTGGTAAAAGGCGGCCCGTGTCAGTCGTTTGCAAAGCGACGTAGATGGAAACAAATTGCCGTGGCGTTTTCGCGGCCTTGGAGATGCAGGAGCGAGCCGACGTTAAAAGAGATACGTTTGAACTACGACAGTGTCGGCAAAAGCCACGTAAATACCTGTTCACACTCGGAACAGACGCGCATGTTTGATGGAAGTGCTGTATTCGTGCTGTTGGTAAGCGCTTCAGGGCCAATCTTTTACGAGGCAACTCCATACTGACGTGACACTCGGCAAAGGAAGGTTGGACCGGCATTGCACATAGCTATCACGAACTGTTATAGCTCGACAGTGACGTGCAGTCATGTCAGAATAAAAATGGCATACTAATAACAAAGTGTACATACTGTGTTACGAAGGTAATCCACACGGCGTTTATCTGAGCTCTATACCACACAAAACAAGAAGACAGAATCGATGAGAGTCCTTTTTCGACGGCAGTGCTCAAGAACACTGCCTCGGAAAGCAAGGAGATGACAAGGGGAAGAGACTGACCTCACCTCTTAATCTAAAATTGAGGTTAGCAATCAAACTATAATAGGGAAGGGCTCACAAGGGTCGCGCGGGCATATTCCATTTAGCACGCCAGCTGGTCGGAGGCAGACGGTCTTGGCCAATTACTGTTGAAGCAACGTTGCACTGAGTTGGACTGCCTGCTAGGCCTATATTCCGCCGAGCTTGCTTGGTCCGGGTCGGTCGATTCGTGGCCGTTGTAGCTTTTCTCGGGTGTTTGTGGATCCAGCGTTCTTGTTCGTCGTGGTCTGTTTCAAGTACTTTTTTCTTGCTGCTTGAAGTTTGGACGCACGAGAAGAACACATAGAAAAATAAACGTTTGTTGGTCGTCGCAACCAAGTAACCAAGTAACTGAGCGACGCTGTCGGCCCTACTGCGCAAGCGCCATAGTTGCTTTGTTTACCACACGATAAATGGCGCTTGGTTCTCAGCCTTATCAAATTTGGCAGTTTTCATCACATCTCTAATTATGCTACAAAATGTGGATCTGAATATTATTTAACAAAACTTTCAGGAAACATTTGGCGACTATTTCTTGTTTATGATCGCGGTGCTGGTGAGGTGTAGGCTCTTACCCAATAGGCGACGTGGATTCAGCTGACGTGCTGCGGTTCCGCGGATGCATCGCAGTGAAAAGGCAGAGAGCTTTCGAAGGAAAGAAGGTGCAAAAGAGTCCAGTTTTCTTTTAAAAGTTCTATAGCGAAGAATTTTTTTGGCTCTCTATTTTTGTGTTTTTGTGTTTCTTTTCACACCTTTTACGATGATCGGTGGATGAAATTCGATTTCAGAATCGTTTCATGGTCCCTTTAATCAGTGCTCAGAAGGGGAGAGGGCACGCGTGCCTGTACCTTTGACTGCATTGCCAAGAAAAGTTATCTCCGAGTATAGTTGTGCCTGCAGTGCCAACAAACCCGTAGGTGGGGGAGCGGGGAAAGCCGCTTTTGGGGGTGTACAAACGTTGAGGGACAGGCTAGTCATCTAGGGCAGTGGTTCTCAAATGGGGGTCCGCGGACCCTTTTGAGTCCGCGAAGGCATTCTAGATCCGCGAAGCCCTGCCTCATCAGTCAAGCCAGGCTCAGATTAAGAGGAAACATTATAATTTTGAGGGTGAGTTTCCTCCTGTGTATGTCAATGAGAGAAGTCTACTTCACACTAGCTCTTAGTTATATTCATTTATTGAAATATTATAATAATTATTCTTTATTTTTCCCCTTCCTCTCGCCGCGAACGGGGTCCCCCATCATATCCGCCAATCCACAAGGGGTCCGTGAAACATCAGTGGCTGAGAACCACTGGTCTAGGGGGTGAAAAGCGACGTCCGGGTCACAGAAAAAAGAATCTGGGCAAGAGGGGAGTTCCTTCTTCCTCTCTTTTCCAACTGTTTGCATCACGCTTTTCGCCCTTGCGCCTTTGGTAAGGGCTGTCGCGTGGTTCGTCTCCGTCGCTCCGATTGGCTCGAAGGAGCCGTAGCATTTGCTCTTTGCCAGGTTTTGGTGAAACAAAGTATGATGACTTATTGGTTTTTTGCTGCATTTTTCACCAACTTCACATCTTTCTTTTTTTTATTACTTCCCAGTCTTTTTGTAGCAGCCTGGGCCTTTAAGGTATTGAAAATGATAAATGAATAAAGTACACTGCCGTTTGAAGAGAGCCAAGCGTGCACGCTTTGCTTCGGCATCACGAACGGTGCACGCACGAACGCATGTAAATCGGAGTTTTCTAGCTGGCACGATGCCGTGAATGTTACCGGGAAGTGCCTAGACCAACCATCGATCACCGTTGATGTTTACTGCTTGCCCAAAAACACCATAAAGGTTTCGACATTGATGCATGGCAGAGGTCACTTCCACAAAAGAAAAGAACCCAACATGCAAAGACATGAAACACGTAAGTAGCACATCGAAAAGCATAAGTCATAATAAATCATATTAGAAACACATTCCGGTACTGAATGGTAAAGTAAGGCGGGAAAGAGATATTGTGTTGAAAGAGGCCTTTGCAAAAAATCCTTCCTTCAGTTAGCTTGTAGGGATAAAACGTGACGCAATGTCACGTGAATTTACTTGAAACAAGTAACTTTACAGTGGCCAAAAGATCGGGTGCATCATTAGGACATCGGTCGAGCTTCTGTAGGAATGCTACATCTCAGCAATGCCTACAATCACTTAACCCTGTCCCGGTTGGGTTTTCTTTCCAGAAAAATATTTCCCAGTGTTGGGTTTTGTTTCCAAAGGTATAGTACAAGAAAAGATTGAATGTAGTTTTTATTTTATCATTCAACAGGATCACAGGCAGTGCTCGCAAGCTGTTCAGGTTGAGAAGCATCGCGTGGAAATATTGAGGGTTAAATGTTGTCACCTTTCTTCCATTCGGTTTCACTTTGGTGCACCCGCTTCTGCAATGTTCTGGCGGTCTTTGATTCTGAACCGGATGCACTTCACGGAGCTTCTCCGTTGGCTGATGAGCTCTCATCCTCTGAATTCAATACTGAGAGGCGTGAAAAGCCAAAATCGGAAGAACCGGCACTCCGATTGCCACCACCGTGAAAGCAGTCAACACGCTAAGCGATCATCTTGTGTGTATCACGTGCGCTGAGCCTCTAGTTTTCAAACTATAGATAGCCCCAGCAATGCGAAACACTATGCGAATATAACATTTCTATTTCCTCAAATGCATTACAAAAGCAGCACCTCTCGGGGTGCATGCAGTTTGGCATTTAGGTAGGACATTTTAATTGTGCAATCGCCGCCGTACACGTACGGCGACGATTGTGAAAGGGTTGAAGTATTTCAAAATCTTTATAGGAAAATGAAAATCTCCCGTGAAAATGTCTATCACACACTATGCGAACTGACATGGAATTCCCTTTCAGGTGCCAAGCGACCAGACGCTGGTCCGCTTCCTGCAGGCGCAGGACTTCAACCTGGAGAAGGCAAGAGAGATGCTGTGCCAGTCCCTGGTCTGGCGCAAGAAGTACCAGGTGGACCGCATCCTCAGCACCTACGACCTGCCCCAGGTCGTCAAGGAGTACTTTCCGGGGGGCTGGCACCACCACGACAAAGGCGCGTCCCTCTTAACGGCACCTTCTCCTCGTCCCACCTGTTGTCCCTCTTACCAACCTCTTCTGCTCTTCCTCACTTGGCATCTCTCTTACCGGCCCCTGCTCCTCGTCTCGCTTGTTGCCCCTCTGACTGCTCCCTTCTCCTCATCCCGCTTGTCATTTCTGTTATCGGCCCCTCCTCCTGCTCCTCGTCCCTCTTACGGGCCCCTTGTGGCATTCCTCATCCCGCTTGTTGTCCCTCTTACCGGCCCTGGTCCTCCTCTCACTTTTTGTCCCTCTTACTGTCCCCTTCTTCTCGTCCCACTTGTCATCCCTCTTACCGGCCCCTACTACTGCTCCTTGTCCCTATTACTGGCCCCCACTCAGGTTCCTCGTCCCACTTGTCCGTCTTACCGGCCCCTGCTCCTCGTCCAACTTGCTGTCCTTGTTACCAGTCCCCTCTGCTCTTCTTGTTGCTTGTAGTCCCTTTTATCGTCCCTCTTGCCAGCCTCTTCTGCTCCTCAACCCACTTGTCGCCCCTCATCTACGCCACATCATCCAATCGTTCTGCGGCACGTTTTATCAGATTTTTCAAAATAAATGTTCTTCCTCGTTTTGAGTTACTACATTTGTATTGAATTCCTGATGACACTTTTTCCTTGCCTTGTTTTGTGTAAACAAAGAATGAGAACTACTGTAGTGCACGTTCGTCAACGAGTGTCGTCTCTCCCGTCCCTTGCAGATGGACGTCCCATGTACGTCTTGCGTTTGGGACAAGTGGACATGAAAGGGTTCATCAAGTCCATCGGTGAACAGGGACTCGTCAAGCTGGTAAGTTACTCCCACTTTTCCTTTCGTTGGGAACTTTCGTTGTAAGTTCGTCGCACTTCTGTTGTTTTCTTGGACTTTCCGCTTTGAGTTCCTCTTGCCTTTAGTAATTTTTATTTTGTGCCTTTCAAGTCATGGTTACAGTGCAAATACAGTTGAACCTCGATATAACGAACTTCAATGTAACGAAATCCTCGATTTAACGAAGTATTTTATTTTTCATAATTTCTTGCCCATAGACCCCATGTATTTTTAGTCTCTATATAACGAAGTCTATTTTGGTGCTATTTCAATATAACGAAGCGCCATTGCCATAGAAGGCAATAAATAGACTCTAAAAAACAACTTCGCAAAAAAATTGTGGTTAAAAAAAAATTATCCGCAAACGCGAGCGCTTGATAGGTTACTTCATGGGGACAGGCCTTCCAACGTTCCTAGGCTGCCCGAGGATGCGGCGCCGGTAGCGCCGGCGAGGCATGCGGCAAAGCGGATTCTGCGGGGCTGGCCAGAAAATGCCGAGCAAAAAGTTTACGTGGCATAACAGCATCACCACTGACATTCACTGATCATCACAGTCCACTGTACCGCGGGTAGCGGGGGAGCGACGTGATGGCGCGACCTAGACATGACCTAGAGCCTATACAGGAACTCTAGCGCGACCCCACGGGCAGTGCCATCTAGGAGAAGACCGAGAAGACCGATTATCGTCTTGCGAGCCTGATGTAAAGCAAAGGCGCAAGCACACTGTGGGCGCAAGGGGGCAAGTAAACTGTGCGGGCAAGAGTGCTGTGTCGGTTGGAAACATTGGCACCGCCTAAACTGAACTAAACAGCTTTATTTTTCAACCGGGCGGTTCACTCACGTGCTTGCTGCCATAAGGAAACGTAAAGTTCTTTCTTTGGATGAGAAAGCAAACGTTTTGGACGCCATCCTGAAGAAACTGCCGAGATCCCGAGCACTCGGGAAGTGCTCGACGCAATGGACGTACTGAGGAGGTACACGGCGTCGCATGGTCAGCAAGATACCGTGCAAGCGCTCTGGGCGCTCGAATGCCGTATGACGACGCCGCTGCTACTGTCGGACAAGGCGCAAGCAAAACTCGCGGACTACTTTGCCCCTAAATAAATGTCATTTTCGGTGAGTTTTCATACCCGTAAAATGTTTCGGAATTTTTTTTGCATGCTAAAGCCAAATTTCAATTTAGTGAAATTTCAATATAACGAAGTAAATTGCGAATTTTACCGACTTCGTTACATCGAGGTTTAACTGTACATCGTACAAATGACAGTCTGGAAACACTGTCTCAGGCACGTTTCTTCCTCTTTTGTGTCACCCTGCAAGACTTGTTTTTTAGAGTAATTGGGGGGGTAAAGGGTTCAGACATACATGCGAATGAACATCTAGCGTTGACACCACCTTCAATTTTTCGTCCTAGTGTGTCCTGTGCTGCATTTGTGCCATTAAACACTTAATCATCATCATTGTTGACTACCGCCCCCCCCCCCCCCCCCCCCTCCCCCCCCTTCAGACCCTGCATCTCTGCGAGGAGGGTCTCAAGCGCACCGAAGAAGCCACCCTAAAGACAGGCAAACCGATCAGGTGAGCATGGTGATCTTTCGTTCTTAGAAGGAACCATGAGACAGTCTCTAAAAAGGAGGTGCATCAACTTTTGCAGTAATGGAACTGTGTGCCACTTGTGCCAAATTGCGCCATCAACAAAAGTCTACTAATCTTGTGCCAAAGTGCTATTTTTGCTAAGAATTGCACCGCACCTGCGCCGAGATAGGCTTAAAGGGGTACGGAAACGAAATTTTAGCGCCAATCTTTCTGCATAAATATGGGCTAGGGACAGGCACCACCTCGGAAATATCAATATCGCACTGTAAAACACAGGAGAACTAATTTTTAACTTCATTAAACGATTTCAAATTCACATCTGGTGGATGGTGGGAAAGTTCTCGTGACGTCACTTGTGGCATAGGAGCAGCGTCGTTCTGCGGCAATACGGTGTGCCGGCAGAATTCGCCTAGGCCTGAACGCGTTTGCAAAGCCTTGGCGGAGTAAGTGAAAGCGTAGTTGGCCACAGTGAACTCGTTCTCGTTGCGGCTCTTTGCACGACACGACGCGAGCATGCTTCTGGCACGGCTGGTATTAGTTGCTGCGAGTCGCGAGCCGACGTTAAAAAAAAATATGTTTGAACTACGAGAGTGTCAGCAAGAGCCACGCAAATACCTGTTCACACTCAGAGTGGACACGAGCGTTTGATCGAAGTGCTAGATTCGCTCTGTTAGACCGCGTTTTGGTAAGCGCTTCTGGACCGATCTTTTACGATTGCAACTCGATACTGACATAACACTCGGCAAGGAAAGGTTGGACCGACATCGCGTAGCTCCCACGAACTGCTATAGCTCGACAGTGACGTAGCGTCGTGACTCGTGTCAGAATAGAAATGGTATACTAATAACAAAGTGTACATACCATGTTGCGAAGGTAATCCGTATGGCGTTTATTTGAGTTCTATCACACAAAACAAGGAGATAGAATCAATGAGAGTCCCTTTTCGACGACAGCGTTCGTCACCGCTGTCTCAGAAAACAAGGAGATCGAGATGACAAGAGGAAAAGATTGACCTCTGAAATTTAATTCAGGGATCAAACTATTCATCTGGAAAGGGTCCACAAGGGTCGCGCGGGCATATTTCATTCAGCAGGCCAGCCGGTCATGGGCACACGGTCTTGGCCAAGGACCGCCGGAGCAAGGGTGCGCCGAGTCGGTGTTGCTGCTAGGCCTACTATATTCTGCCGAGCTCGCTTGGTCGGTAGAATCGTGGCCATTGTAGCTCTTCTCGGGTGTTTGTGGATCCTGCGTTCTTGACCGTCTTGGTCTGTTTCAAGTACTCCTTCCTTTTTTCTTGCTGGTTGAAGTCGGGACGCACGAGAAGAGCACGTATAAAAATAAATGTCCGTTGGTCGTTGCTACCAAGTAACTGAGCGACGCTGTCGGCCATATTGATTTGATCGTAAAAAGTGCGTAAGACAGTTTCAGAGCTGTCGTAGGATTCTGTCGTAACCTGCGCAAAAGTTATGACAATTTCGTTTCGAGAATACGGGTTTTCTCTCAAATTTGTTGTACGCACTTTTTTCGTCGTAAGCTTGCTTTGAGAATCCGGCCTCACAGCTGGTTTTGTCAGTGGTGCCGTGGTTGCCGACTTGCTGTGGTGCAGCGTGCGTGCAGCCTTTGCACATGTCAAACGGCCACGTTGTCACAGGTCGTAAATAGTCGACGCGCCACCAAGTGGCAACGCTCGTAACCACGACACCCACGCCGTAGCCTTTCCCGTCTGGCACAAGTGACGTCACGAATGCGCCCAATATCCCAAGACGCATCGCGCTCTCCGATGGCCGATTTTTGGAGCGCGCGCCCAATCGGGCCCCTCAGTGTGAAAAATATAGCCATCCGTTCAAAATACAAACGCGCGATTATGATTTACGGATATTATGATCATATTAAACCTATTTCTGACCATAATAGCTGTATTTCAAGTTTCGCTTCAGTATCCCTTTAAAGGGACAATGAAGACAATTTCGGATATTTTCTTGGCTATTGAACTGGCTTCCAGGCAACGTTGCTCAAATTTCAGTCGAAACTAGCACTTGTGTGCCGTGCAAATCAATTAAACAGTCGCGGTAATAATCATACTGGAATCGATTGTGGCCACGCCCCGGGAGTTGTGCGGCGCTGCGGTTCCTAGAAACCCGACGCCACGAGAGATGCGTCAGCGATTGGTCGAAACGAGAGACGTGCCCTCGGTTATGTTTTGGTTCGCGATTTTTATGAACACTGTTTCAATTTCCACTTGAATAACCATGAAAAGTATTAATTGGATCAGAAATTATTCCTAAACTGTAAATAAAACAGCATAATTATTTTCTCTTTGCTACGCTGGATGCGAAACAGGCAACGAGCAACTATGGGCGAACAAAATAAATAAAAAAAAGAACACAGCGCGGATTCCGCGGAGACTTCTGGTTTTGGTTTTAGATGTCGATGTCGTGTTTACTTTGAGAACACGGTACTGGAAGGATTCTGCAAAGTGGTAATCATGCCAAATTTGTGCACTGTAGATGGCTGTTAAAACTGTCGACTCAAGACCAGTAATCATTCGGGTGACGCTAGTTTTCACGTGTGGGTTGCTGTTCATGTTCTTTGACGACGAAAAGAGTGGACATCAGACTCTGGTGAAAAGCAAAAGTGGTACTGTTTATTTTCTCCTTCTTGGGGAGCGTCCCCCGCGGAGGAACCGGTTCCCGGAATGGGTCGCTGCCGCTTTCCCCTCGGCGTCTTCCCTGCTTCCCTGTCCTTCGGCAACACGCTACTCTCGTCTCGCCCGCGCGAACGTTGCTCGGTGCTTCGTTGCTCGGAGCCTGCGGGCCGCTCCTTGTCGGCTGGGCGGTCTCTGTCGGGTGATGGCGGAGGTCGCCACACACATACTCTCATTCCGTTGGTGTTAGGTCACTGAACGGACGCCTGAACTCGCTCACGAGAGCGGCATTGTTGTCTATGTGGACAGATCCAACGAAACGATCGCTCCACCGCAGTGCTATAACCCACTGCGGTAACCGGAGTCTCGGTCTCCTAAATACTACCGATACCCACTATTCACACTTGACGTAACTCCCCACGTCACCTCCGTTTTTCAGAGGCCTAGAAATGAGAATGAAAATAGTTCAGTTTTTCGTTTTTTTAGTTCTTTCGTGGGCACAGAAAAACGTGTCACAAATGTCTACAAAAAATTGCGCAGCGTGCTAGGTTCCCAAGGAGCCTAAAACACCATTTAAAAAAATTTATTAAAATCGTCTTTATTGTCCTTTTGAAGGTGCGCTAAAGACGTTTCTGACATCGTCTGTTCTTGGTGACAACTTACATGCTCCAAATGTCCTGGGAAACCCAAAAATTATGCTTGTGGGACATTCATTTCCCTACTTTAAATGTAATCGAAGTTTGTGCCAAGCCCCTTTCTGAGTGGAAAAATCTGGAGCACAGAATCCAGCGGGAGCACCGGCGGCGTGCAATTGTAAAAAGCTGCGTTGAAAATAAAAAAAAGCCCAGATCTATGTTTGAATGAATACGGAAATCAAGGTTGTTCCCGTGCAGCTGTTGATCGAAAGTGCAGCAACCTTTGACTTCACCCTGTTTTCAATGCCGCTAAAGAACAGTGTTATCTTTAAAGCACAAAGGTAGGTTTTGTCTTATTTTTGAGTGGTTGTTTTTGCAGTTTATAATGTCAGTGTCTTGAGTTTGGAAAATTAATAAAACTTGGGGTATGCATTTTAATTGATAGACATGTTAGTGGGTATGCTGGTTTTTGCTGGCCTTCTACAGCAATTATGTTTACAGGATATACAATGAGGGGATGTAAAAGGTTGAGGGGAAAGAGGCTTTATCCCAGTTGAGGTGTTGCGCTACGATTCATTTTGCAACTTTTTTAGTGCCCATTGTAAATCACACCTACTCTGAACCTACTATTTCTAAAAGAAGCTTCTGTGTTCCTTTTGTGCCCTACCTCTTCTCATTAGAAAAACCTAATAAGTAATATGCTCCAGTATCAAGGATAAACCCTAAATCATGATCAGGTATGAACTCATTTAGTGCTGCAATCACTTTTTCATGTTCAAATCTTGTGGTATCTGCTCCAAAAGCATCAGTGACTGCTTCAAACCAATATTTTGCCTGCTACAGAACCTGCTACAAAAGGTCAAATGTGGCTTCCATCACTGCTTTTGTACTTTATGCACCACTTGGGTCAAATCCTCTCCAATGTTTATAATTCATGAAACACACATTAGTATTTTTATCCCCACTACAGCAGTCTCAGAAAAAATTTGAGAATGACTAGTGGCGTTCAAACCCTAAACTCCATCCTTGAAATTACGCGGCGTCAAAGAAGCTTCTTGGTCGGCGGCGTTGCATGCAAGTAATCTATTAAGTCCCGCTGGCGCGAGTAAGCTTACGTAAGTGAGAAGCATTCCCACCCAACATCGTTGACCAGGCCCTTGAATATTTAGCAGAGCAACACACAGCGAAGAAGATGAACTCTTCCTCATGCAGTTGCCGTAATGTGGACCTTCACCTTGCTTCCTACGTGGCGTACAACGCCGTCAAAGCTACTTGCGGTCTTCTCTGGTGACTTAACCCTATACTCTGTTTCATAGTTAGTTTGCAACACTGTTAAAGCTACTGGCACGAGCATGGCGCTTGATCTCATTGATCATTTGCACCCGTTCTCGCGCAAACAAAACCATAGATCAAGCCACGCGCTCGCGCCAGTAGCTTTGACAGCGTTGCATGCTAAGTGTGAAACGGGAGTATAGAGTTGAATGAAGAGTACAAATGCCCGCACCCTGAGGCCCGCCCTTGCCTCCAGCTCGTGGACGTGCCTGCTGGATCTGGAGGGACTGAACATGCGGCACCTGTGGCGACCGGGCATGCGTGCCCTGCTGCACATCATCGAGATGATGGAGGCCAACTACCCGGAGACCATGGGGCGCTGCCTGGTGGTACGGGCACCCCGGGTGTTTCCCATCCTCTGGGCCCTGGTGGGTACCTTCATCAACGACAACACCCGGGCCAAGTTCACCTTCTTTGCCGACGGGAACCACACACCCACGGGGCTGGCCGAGTTCCTGGACCCGGCCCACGTGCCGGACTTCCTGGGGGGGCCCTGCCAGGTGGGTGGACATTCTTTAATGCCTTTGGACCTTGAGCACACATTCGGTAATGCCTTTGGGCGTGAGGGTACATTCGTTAGCATCTGGGGGCCTTAAGCGTACATTCACCGTTCTCTTCGGGTCCTGAGTGGCGTAGTAAGGGGGGGGGGGGGAAGGGGAGGGGAGGGAGGAGAAGGGGGAGGGGGGTGGGGGTTAGAGCACTGCACGGGCCGGAATTTCTAGGCCCGGCCCGACCCGGCCCGGTAGAGACACGGCCCGGGCCCGGCCCGGGCCCGACAGAATTTTAAGTTTCTAGGCCCGGCCCGACCCGGCCCGAAAGAGACACGGCCCGGGCCCGGCCCGAGCCCGACAGAATTGTTAATTTCAAGGCCCTGCCCGACCCGGCCCGATGGCTGTAACCCGAAACAACCCATTTCCGTTTGAACCCGTCCTGTTTCGACCCGCTCCCGAAACGAGCTCCTCATTTGAACCCGTCCTGTTTCGACCCATTCTTTAAACACCCTTCCCATATGAACCCGTCCCGTTTCGACCAGTTTCCTAAACGCCCTTCTCGTTTGAATTTGTCCTGTTTCGACCCATTCCCTAAACGCCCTTCTTATTTGAACCAGTTTCCGAAACAACCTTTGCGTTTGAACGCGTCCCGTTTCAACCTGCTCTTATAAGGCCCTGCACATCGCAACCTCTTCGCAAAAAGTCTCCATCGTTCTAAGCCTGGTCTGCGCACCTTTTCTGTTTAAGAATGTGTTCTGAAGTAGCTTTACATGTCAACGCGTTCTTAAAATATACAACCCTTTCAGGCAAGCTTAAGTTTAATATATTCCTAGTTAACCCCTTAAAACGTTTTTTTCAAGATGGTTCCCAAAACGTGCAAGCGCGGAAAAAAAAATTGGGTTGTGTGTGTGTTTATACAGCCTAGAACTTGGTCTGCCTCACAGGGGCGACGAGTCTCCCAGCTGTAGATGAGAAATTTAGCCATTTATTTAGCCAAATTTAGCGGTACAGCCGCTAGCCTGGGGTCTTTAACGTGCATCACGCAGTAGTGATACACGACCGCACGCCGGTACGATGCTCATCCAGATCGAAACGGGCAGGGGTGGGGATTGAACCCAGCATCCCTGGGTTCTGCAGCGAGAGCTTTCGCTCCACGTGCTCCGAGCTGGTGTGCGCTAGACCACTCGGCCGCCGATCCCCCCCTGCAAGCGCGGAACGGACTATGTACACTGCGCGACACTGATACCGCGAACACGACGTTGGCTCTTTTTTCGAATTTTACTTCAAAATGGTTTTAGTAGGCACCAAAGTATACCGCTTAGGTCTGTGGCCCAGATGAGCACTTCTAAAGACACTAATACTTTTGAAAACAGCGTTTTGATTCTATGAGATAAGCATAAAAACACGACGATCGCTTGTTCGTGCTAATATAGTGTCGCGCTCTGTGCAATAAGGGAGTCTTAGAATAACGTACTCGAGCACTTTGGGCAAGCTAAAATTAGCATCGCCATAGGTTTTACATCGCAACGCTATTTTTACGGTACCCAAAGCACTTGCGTACGTTTTTCTAAATCTTCCTAATAGTGAACTAGATATTTTTGAGAGCGATGAATCAGACAGGTTGACAAGCATATGACTGGGACTTTATTTTGTTTACAATTTATAACACTGAACCCTCGCTCACACGGAAAAAGCTTGAAGGCTTTCTAGCTTCAAGACGTCTTTTAGTTATTATTTTTAACGACGCTGTAGTGAATTTACACCTCGCTTTTTTTTTTGTATTCAATGAACCTAAAAGATTAATGAGCAAACTTCTTGCTATCAACAACAATTTATGATTTACGGCACAAGATTGTCCAGGCACGGCCCGGGCCGGCCCGGGCCTGCGCGGCCCGAGAAATTTTTTGTTCAAGCCCGAGCCCGGCCCGGGCCCGAGAAAATTCGTGCTACCCGGCCCGAGCCCGGCCCGCGGGCCGGGCCGGGCTCGGGCTTTCGGGCTGGCCCGGGCCCGTGCAGTGCTCTAGTGGGGGTGGCGGGGGACGGGCTTTGGGTACCAGGCGTCCTGGCCATGTTAGAGGTGGGGGCGTTGCCACTTTGGCAACATCTGGCCCCACCCCCCACTTTTCTACTTGCTTTCTCAGAGAGTAAAAGGGGCTCTGGCAGCATCCCCCCCCCGCTTTTCTAGTTGCAATCTCGGATAGAGAGAGGGGTAGTTACAAAAAGACCTACTGTAAAATACTGGGCAAGCACCCACTCAAAATTTAGAGATAATTCTTGAAAAAATGGGGGATGGGTACTTGTCTGGTCATCCATTTTACATATAAAAATACTGCGCTTATTTTCTGAGATCATAAACATTTGGGAATGTGTGCTTAGTGTGGAATGGGCAGATGCATGGTATTCTACAGTAAAGGCCCCGGGTGCCGGATGGCCTAGCGACGCCACTGTGTGCGGATACGTTCAATAATGCCTTTGGGCCTTGAGCCTACATTCAGTAATGCCTTTGGGCATCGGAATAGATTCTTCAACATCTGCAGGCCTTAAGGAAACATTACTGACGCTTTTGCGTTCTGAGGGTGCATCGTTGAATGCCACAAGGGTGTGTGGATACATTTAATAATGCCTTTGGGCCTGAGGGTGCATTCTGTAGTGTCTACAGTCCTTTAGTGTATCATTAATTGTCTTGGGCTCTGAGAGCGCATTCAATAATGCCTTCGGGCTTTGAGTGTACATTCAGTAATACCTTTGGGCCCTAAGGGTACTCACTATCGTGCCTTCAGGTTCTGAGGGTACATTATTTAAAGCTGGCACTCTTTGGCCGTAGAACCCTTGCACCAAAAGAGTAGTCCACTGATGGCATCTGCTACATCGTCTGTGCAGACCTCGATACCGGATGGCGGCCTGATCCCCAAGAACCTGTACATGTCGGAGGAGGACTACGAGCGGGAGAAAGCAGACGGGATGCACCTCTTCGACGACACCATGTACCACTCGGTCAGCCTGGCACGAGGACAGGTGCATGAGGTACGTGCATCTGGGTGAATGTGGCTGTACTTTTCCAATCAGACAGCAGCTTGTACAGTCAAACCCCGCTTCAACGAACGCCGCTTCAACGAAATTTCCGGTTCAACGAATATTTTTCGGTTCCCCGTCAACGGTCCATAGGAGTCAATGCATAAGAATTTTCACTACAGCGAACACTGTTTCTTGTGCTGTTGCGCTTGAACGAACTTTCGAGCACTGGTGCATTTTGGCACATAAGATACGTCTACTATAAAGTTTAAATCGCGTGTTGAACCACCAGAAACTGCGACTAGTAACTGGTATCGAGTGCAACGTTGACCGGGCGTCAATGTTACCGGGCGTGCAGGCCGCGTTTACTTGATGGCGACAGCGATGAAGCTGGCCTTCCTACACAGTTGCACCGATGTTACTCTAGCTCTTGGCTTGATAACACTCTGCTGCAGACTATCCAAAGCCGAAGCTCTGTCTTTTTGTTGTTTTTTCTTATTTTTTTGTCGGTTGTCATTTTATCAGTACGGTACGACGACAACGACGGTACACGGGTTTTTTCTGAATGGCACAATGGCACCGCCAAGCAAAACTCGAAAGTTTTTATCCTTACAAGATAAAGCTTGCATCCTGGCCGAAGTTGCAAGTGGAAAGAAGAAAGCTGTCATCGCTGAAAAGTTTGCAATTCCTCCGAATTCGTTGTCGACGATCCTAAAGTCAAAAGATGCAATCAAAAAGGCTCTTGTTCAGTTATCGCCAACTGTTTCACGCACGCGGGCTTCAAGCTCAGAGACCCAGACGCTGACTCCGCTGAGGATAACGAAGCAGTGCGTCCGCCGGGAGAGCCGTTACTTCTTGGGCTGCGCTTCAGGATGCCGGAACTGCACCGTCCGGTGTCGCGCTGGAAGATTTCATAGACGCTGACATGGATGTTATCGCTCATTAAGAAGTGAGTGACAAAGACATTATACGAAGTGTCCGTGACAAGGCGCAGTCAGATGAAAACGACGTGCCGGACCCGCAGCCTCCGCCTTCCATGGCGCGCGTACTGGATGCGTTCGACGTTGTCAGAAGCTACGTGGCTGCGCATGATGGCGACCTCACCATGAACTTACTCGCCAAATGCGAAAACTGCGTCGCGGAGCTTCTAACAGGGAAAAGGAAGCTGACGACGCCTGATACACTCTGGAAATAAAGATTTCTGTACTCTATCAGTTCAGGTTTTCTGTGAATTTTACAACAACAAAATTTTCGGTACAACAAATTTTTCCTCTCGCACCGTCAATTCCGTTGTAGCGGGATTTGACTGTACCACCTAGTGATGGAAACAGAAATTTCTGCTTTTCGTATTGTTGCATTCTTGGCTTATTTTTTTTAACGCAGTTATATATTTATTGCATCTGTGTCTTTCATAGGTAGGACTTTTCTGTTGGAACTTTTGAATGCATGTGTTCGTTTTGTCCCTATTGTGTGCTGCATACTTAAATTGCTCGTGTTTTTGGCCTACCGTAAAATGCCGGGGTGGCGCCCACCCCACATTCACTGAAAACTGGGTTAATCTTTACATATGTGCGTGACCAGTCAAACCAGGTGCTTAACGTTTAATTTCCAGAATTCCCAAGTTATGGGATATCTCGATAGTGAACGCTTGAACAAAGTGGGCGCTTGAACAAAGTGGGCGCTTCTGCGATATTTTACGGTGTTATATCTTGCTTTTCTTGCAAATTTTAGACCTGCGGTTTTTAAGCCACAGCAGACGAGTTGTCGAACATGAGTAGCGCTGCGGACCAAAGCGAGTCAAAGAAGTGAGCTGTACAGGCACTTGCCGTGTTTACTATTATCTCGTCTCCTTCTACAAGGATGAGTTTTCTGCCTCTGCTACCTCTAGGGGGACAGGTAGAAGAGGTGAACAGGACTAGTGCTAGACCTTTTCACTTTTAGTTCTACAAGGATATGTCTTGTGCTTCTGCTACCTCTACAAGGACAAGCATAACAGGTGGTCAGGACAAGCACAAGTCCCATTAACTTTTATTTCTTATACAAAGACAAGATTTTACTTCTACAAAGTCATCTGGAAGAGCGAACAGGACAGGTGCTTATCCTGTTCATGCCTACTCCTCCTACAAGGACAAGCCTTCTACTTCTTTTACATGGACAAGTCGACTTCTACATGTTCTATAAGAACAAGTTTTCTCCTTCTACAAGGACAATTAGGAGTGAACAGGACAAGTGCTTGTCCTGTTCACTCTTCCGCCTCATCTACTCCTACAAGAACAAGCCTACTGCTACAAGGACGAGTCTTCTGCTCATTGTACGAGGACAAGCTTTGTCCTTATACAAGGACAAGCTTAGTCCTAATACAAGGACAAGCTTTGTCCTAATACAAGGACAAGAAGAAGTGAACCACTAGGACAAGCACTTGTCCCGTTCACTTCCGCTCATCCTTATCTGTAGCCCATTTGCATTCTCACGTCTCCCCACAGGTGGTGCTGAACGTGAGTGACCAGGGCAGCGTCATCTGCTGGGACTTCGACATCATGAAGGAGGATGTGGTGTTTGCTGTGCACCACACGACCCGGGAGCTGCCACCTCCCGAGGCGAGCGAGGGGGAGGGGGACGGGGAGGGAGAGGAGCCCGTGGGGTGCGCACACTCCCCGCTGCCCCTGGCCATGCTCACCCTGGACACCCCTCCCTCGCTGCTGCCCAAGACCTGGGTCGCCGGCGTGGATTACCGCACCGTCGAGCCGCCCATCACCTGCCACGACGGAGAAAGTGTCCAGGTGACGCCTCCTCGCTCTCTTTTAGGGGCGAAGCTCCTTAGGGTCTAGCCTTGTCCATCCGTCCGTTTGTGTGTCCGGCAGGCGTTTGTGCTCACATAAAAAGAAAAAAATGTTTGCGCAGTCGACAGGATTAGAATTTGTGTGGGGAGAGCCCAATGGATTTCTAGTCCATCGCCTTAACCACTCGGCCACGACTGTGCCAGAGGCCCGGATCAAATGCCGAGGTTTCAGAACGCACCCTTACCTCATCCAAAAGTTACGAACAAGTTTGAGAGTTTTCGACGGGAAAATGACGGCCAACGAAGCCCACAAATACACGGGGCTAATTGGCGCAGACTACCGGAAACATGCCATGTTTTTCGAGTCGAAAGGTTTAGAAAACCATTCGCCATAAAATGTTATGGAAGCATCCACTTCGTACGCGCACCCACCATCAACAATTCTCAAACTTGATATTGTGCAAATTATACTTTAGGCGCCAGCATCGGCCGAAAATATGCTCCCCGTTGCGGCATTTACGAGACCGTCAGCGGCGACAATGGGGATATGACGTCAAAATAAATGTGCTTTCTCCGATTCCATTCGCACTGCCTTGGAAGCTCTCTAATGTTCGCCCACTTGATTTCTGCCTATTCAACCAAACAAACGCCCATGTTTAGAATAACCCAGCTTTCAGTGAAAGTTGGATGAACATTTCCGTGGCATTTTATGGTGTAACTTTTTGATAAGTTAACAGTTAGCTCTGAAACTTCGGCACCTGGTCCGAATCGCTAGCTCTACAAGCATTCGGAGATGCGTAATATATTTTTGGGGCAAAAAAAAAAAAAAGAAACACCGTAAACGTTTTTGCGGGGATACGCTGCGCAGCGACGGGATTTGTTTAATTTATGTCGGTTACGGCCGGCATGTCACGCTCCGCCGAAGTTTGTGATGTGCCTGGCCGTCGCAGGTTGTATAATTTGCAAGTCGAGTGGGTAGTAACAAATAAAAAATTGTGTTTTGTCCGTTTATTTTTGTTTTGCTTTCGCGAGCTTCCCCGGCATTCGTTTCACGCCATCAGACTTCCCGGAACCTGTCGGGTGCAAGCTACACTGCCCCCATGTTGTTATCAGGTTACATCTCGCATCGCGTTTTTATTGCCGCCAGTAGAGCTTTTCGTGCTTTCGGACCAATTTTGAGACTTCGATAACATCGCGAAAAGATATGCAATTTGGGTACTTAATTGTGTCGAACCAATCTTGAAGCAAGTTGGCGACCGTAAAAATTTTACCGGAGCTCCATTGTAATAGGAAACTTCGGAAAACTCGTTTGTAGCAGTTTTTTCTATTTTACTCGCTATTACGGCATCCTTTTTTTGCCGCGCTGCGATCCTGGTGAATTGTGAGCATTGCCACGACGAGCTTTCAGCGTTTCTTTGGCCCTTCGTAATCGGTCCGTCCTCGAAGCGACGGTATGTATGCTCGAGCAACTCGTCGACGGTTCGCCCGACCTTTGTTTTCAGGGCTCTCACGTGACGAGCACGGCGGGGACGTACATCCTCCAGTGGCGCCACCTGGAGGGGCCGCAGCACCACTCTTTCGAGTTCCCCCTGGCTCCGCACAAGGCCAAGGTCATGTACTACTACGAGCTGCTCAAGGGGCACGACTATCGGTGAGTTATTTGACATCAAAGCTCCTCCGCGGAACGAACTCGTGTCTGCATCGACCGGCAGCCGAGGAATCCCTTCCTTTCCCTACAAATCTTGTGAACGATCGTGCTCACACTGAGGAGTGAGTGCACAATATAATAGTTCCTAAACATGGAAAAATGCTTTATGACTTCCGTCTGTGTCAGGCACACAAATACTGACACAAACAACCAAGTGAAATGCTTGCAGTCCCTTAAGAAAGAAAGAAATCTATGGTATTTTCGCTGAGACACTTATACTATGCATTGCCGAACGCCAAGTCTCCGCACGAGTGTAGCACCAGCAGTCCGGATCGTATGCCAATATTTCGGAGCAAACCCTTATTTTATTAAAAAGTGATTTCCTGAATATTTCGATGGGAAAAAGGTCTCTTTCTTCGTGGTTTGGGCCATTCAGCCCCACGTATTCGTGGGCGGCGTCGCCCACCATTTTTTTTGCCGAAAATTTCTCAAAATCACTTATAACTTTTCAATAAGATTGCTGTCAATTCTGAAAGTTTGACATCTGGTCCGGAGCGCTAGCGCTACACTTGCGCGGAGGCTAAGCATTTGGCGCCGCATAGTTTATTTATGCCACAGTAAAAACGCCGTTAATTTTTTTTTTTTTGTGGACATTTCATAGCGTGTTACATTGCCAACTGGACGTTTCTTGATGCCACTTGTAACTGGGGTTCCGTGCTCTCGAGATTTATTTTTCTTCGAAGTCGGCGGTTCTTTTCCGTTTTTTTTTTTCCCTCGCAGACTTGGCGTCTTCGGTGTCTATTTTTGGCATTCAACAAGTAATTCGCATTTGTCGGGGCTGTCGAAAACAAACTACCCGAATCTAACACAATAACAAATGCAGTAGGGACTCTGTGGCTCATGGTTACGCATCGCTGGGAGCTCCAGATCCGCTAAAATAATGCTCGGACAGGGAAACCACTTTACTTTGTGGTTTCCCGAGCTCCGAAGGTCCAGGAACCTTCGGAGCTCGGGGAAAACCCACGCGACTAGTCTGGAGATCCGCTGGGGTTCCTAGGAACCTAGGTTGAGAATCGGTGGCATACATTATTGCTTACAAGGTTTGGAGGTTTGTACACCGCTTTGATGGGCTCGACCACTTGTATTGAAAATACAAGAAATAAAAATATTATTATTATTAATAATAGTAGTAATAGTAGTATGGTACTAATGCGGAGTCTGGGAGGGGTTTCTCAACCATCACTCGAGAGAGTTAAAGGGATGCTGAACCGAAATTTTTATTCCACAAAACACGCGGTAAAAGCGTGCAACGGGATGCTACAAACACCAAAACATCACTCATACAGCGATATCTCGAACGGATGAGCAAATTTTTCAAGAAAAGGGAGGCGCATTTGACAGAGATGATGTCGTCATGTTTCTCCGAGAAGGAGAGGGAACGGCCTCGCATCTTCTCTGCCTCGCGGCCTTGAGGGAGCGAAGCAAAGAGAGGAGGAAGCTCGGTATATTGACGTCACGCGCCTTGTCGGCCTGGTTTAATCTCGACCTCTTTTTCCAAAAATACGGCCATCCAATCAAAATATCACCTTACGAGTAGTGGTGTAGGGATTGTAGCGTCCCGCCTACATTTCCTGCATTGTCTTTTCTAAAATCCAAATTTCAGTTCACCATCCCTTTACAGGTTCCTAAAGGTAGAAAAGTTGTAGGACTAACGAATCAACCTTTGTCGCACGTCGTCCGACGTCATCAACGTCTGGTTTCCGTAGACTTACCTTCGCTCTCCCCCCTCGTGCAGTGGGTCGGTGTCAAGCCTGCAGTCGTCGCACAGCGGCAACACTTGCAACTCATCGAGCGACCACTCCTCGGCGCTGAGCTCGTGCCCGTCCAGGTGATAGCGGTGACGGGCAGCGGTCACCATTGATCACTACCCCCCGTGTGCGGTGCGTGCACCCAGCACTGTCTCCGTCACACCCCCTGGAGTCGGACCTACGTGCGAACGGAGCTCAAACGATGCGCGACTCCCGTTATCGGGAGCAACGCGTGTTTTTCCTCGTCGTCTCACGAGTCTTTCTGCATGGTCCGGCGGGATCTTGAAGCCGGCCAAACGTTGCGGAAACTTTGGGGGGGCGTTGCCGCATTGTTGTTGTGTTTGGACCAAGCAAGGTGCTTTCCCGTGGCATAGGGATTCGCCCCCCGGTTTTTGGGACAGCTCGACTTCGAAGTTTTGTCGCCAGGAGTCGTGCGAGCCATTACGTACGAGCCATTACATCCGAGTGGCCGTTTTAGAATGCTTTAAAGTGGGCACAATCTTTTCGTTGGGTGTGGGATTTTTTTTTTTCCGTTTTAGTTTGTTTCTAGCTTTGTGTATATACGCTGCTAAAGTTGTGAAGAGTAGGCCTCCCGGTCTGTTACGTTTTGAGGTCGCCACATTTTTCTCTTTCCGAATCTTTAGCGTTTGGGAGAACCTTCAATCTTGGAGCCCGACGTGACGTTTACGTAAACGCCATCCATTTTTTTTTCCATCATTCGTCGGACTCCCATAAATAGGATTGTTCTAGCGCGATTCAATGACGGAACCGTTTTCTCGAGACATTGTTTCGCGGCCGTTTTGTCGAGTTACGACTTGAAGTCCCCTTTAGGGACTACGGCAGAGAAGCCCCTCTGTCACCGAACAGGCTTGCAGACGACCGTCGTTTTTGAAACCAAAAAGAGGGGTAAACGAAGCCTTAGGTGAGAGCTGTCGTTTCGGTGCGAACCTCTGATGCAAGAAGAAACACGTCAGAGGGTACTTGGAGATCCGCATGCACGACGACGCTGCGAGGAGAGGTGGTGCTGAGATTCAAAGTATTTTCTAGCCTAGGCTTAGGATTGTGGGAGTGGAAACGGTTGTGCAAACTAAACAGCTTCGGCTCTTTCTCAAGAGTGTCGGGTAGTGGAATCTAAGGCTTTGCTGACTCACCGAAGCCTGTTTTGCGAACCTCAGCGTCGCCGTTTCCATAGGCTAGGAGCTTGCAATTTCAAACGATTTGTTGAACTACGTCCTGACAATGTACGTAGGCCGTCGACGAGCCTGGCTGTTGTTCTGACCCTCGACACCATGGATACCTTCGTCGGCGTTGACTTTTGGTCGGTTCATCATTGTTCGTGTTGTACACGTTACCATCATTGCCGTCGGCATAGGTCTCTGGACTAAATACCTCGTAGCAACATTATCCAGAGACGAATTACGTGCTAGCCGACGTGGCTCTCCTCAGCGCCAGATTTAAGCAATCCAGGTTTGGCGGTTTTCGGTTTGACATGCGGGACTGTCATTGCCAACAACCCTCATCGATGATGGGTGCCCTTGTCTTCACGGATCATAGCAACCTGTTAGCTTAAATAGGTTAGTTTTGGTTAAGCCTAACCCGATATATTAGGCTTAACATAGTGCTATGCCAGGCTTAATTAATGGGTTAGGCTTAGCATTGCATTAAGCCTAACCTCTCAGGTTAGGCTTAGTGCTGCATTAAGCCTAACCTCTTAGCTTGGTTAGGCTGTGTGACACTGTGCCATGCCTAACGTGTTAGGCTCAGTGCTGCTGTAAGCACAACCTGTTAAAAAAGGCTTAGTATAGTGCCATACTAGGCCTAAAAGGTTAGCATTGCATGAAGCCTAACCTGCTACTTTAGGCTTAGCACAGCATTGACTCCCTGCATAGCTATCATACCATTTCAATAAGCAGTCTTCCAATGGTGCTATTAAAACCGACTCTCAGGCTAAACCTAGATCAACCCTGGCGGTTTTCCTTTGGTGCCAACAATTGTGTTTTGCCCGTTTTTTTCTTTCACTATTTTTACGGCGAGTTCCGCATCTACCGCTTGAGCAAGATAGGTGGTTGGTTTTATATGGCTTTACTCTGTTTTTTGCTTTCTTTTCTTGGCGGCCGTATCTTTCACTATGATTCTTACTGCAGAGGTGGTTGGGACAACGACAACAACCATCTCTTTTGGTGCGCATTGGAAACGGTGGCTTTTTGCACTTTGACGTTGCTCTCTAGGTCGGTGCTTCCATTTTTGAGTCAAATCGGCTAGGCAGCAATGACGTCAGCTGTTTTCTTACCTGCGACATTGCCGTCTTTGTGGGTCTACTACGTACCATGCTACGAGCACATTCCTGTATAGCACTGATTTACACTTTGGATGACCGGGCAGTTTGGGAACCGCATGCTTTTGTGGACGGGGAGTCCTCGCATGCTCCAGTGGAGTGCCGCAGCACTCTGGCAGGAGTCAGCGGCATCCGTCGTCCGCTTGGAAGGAGAGCGCCGCCATTTCGTTTTCCAGTTTTACGTCCGACGTAGCGGCGCTTTATCGACGGACCGCTTCGTGTGGTTTTGGTCTGGAATACCGAGTCTTTGGTAGACGTCTCCATCCCACATATCCTTTTCGTTTTTAGCTTTACGGCAATAGGCCCCTTTAGAAATGTGGGCCATCGTTACCGGCAGTCAATTTTTCGGGCACCGATTTGCCCACTTGAAGGTATATGGTGACTAGCCTAAAAGAAGGCGGAGAATAGTCGACCAATTCTGTTTACATAGTTTGTCTTGATGCCGCAGTAGTGAAATGCAAAAATGCATTGTCCAAATATTGTATCATCGAGCATTGCACAGGGGAAATTCTGTTGCTGGTGTTACGTTGTAACCGACGTTTGTTTTAGTTACTCTTTCTTTTATTTACAAGCGAGCGTTCATCAATGAAAAAAAAAACATCTTTATAGCTACTTTGTGTAACCCTGTTGAAAGTGCTTTCCGAATCAAACTCCTTCCCTCCAGAAATTTACCCGTTTCCCAGTTTCCTCCCCACTTCAGTATTTTTGTATAATTGTACTTAAGAAACTATTTATTATTGAGAGTGCGGAGTTGTTTCTCTTTGAGAGCGGTGTGCGGGCGCGGCGTGAAACGCTTCCCGGTGCAATGAGTAGGCATGTTGGGAGGGCATGTGCGTCTGTACGAGAGATGGAATACTTTAAATAAAGCAGTCAGTGTATTTTTCATTCGGTGCGTGTGTGTGGATTTCTTTCTCTTAAACTTTTTTGTTAGTATTACAAAATGAATATTTGAGAATAAAAATTGGCAGCTGCATATGTATTGATCAAATCATCATATACAAAACTGCAATGTATGAAAAATTGTGGGTGTTTGCGGTGCTTTTGTACTGGCACTGATTGTTCATGTGTCACGTGATCACTTCGCATTATGGTGTCAAGACATACACTGTCAAGTAATGTCGCGTCACGTGGCCCTGTGACATCACACCTTTGCACTGCGAGTTGCATGACACCGTGACATACTCGATCGTCATGAACTTGAGTCGAGTGCTCAGGTTCATGACAATCAGCATCACCAAACATTCGGATAATGGGTCGTGTTCATTCAAAGACAATAATAGCCAAACTCTAACAATGTCTGAAGCTCAGTCCATGCTCTATGCTTTACCAACCTAGAAAGCTGTTTCTTTTTATTATTTTTTCTGCGTCTGCCATTGCGCGGAGAGGAGAACTAATGGGTGTTTTTGCAAATTATAACATCTGGGATTAGTTCCAAGCGGTATTGACTGAAAGTGCAAAACTTGTTGCACGACCCATATTATGTGTACGCATCCTTGAGGCACCCAAACATGTTTCCGTTGTTTCTGAGATGCCTTGAAGTTATTGTCCCCGAGAATAGAAGCATTGAAAGGACTAAATGCGACTCATTAATCCGACGATAAATAGGACTACAAATGTGTACGGGAGAGGTACTTGAAAAGAAATATCCTAGTGGCCTCGGAGGTACAGCTGAACGTTGGCAGCCGCTCCAGGTATCGGAAGAGTGTCATTCTCAAGTTCTCCCCCAAACTTTGACCACTTCCACATTTTGTTTAAACTTCACAGTTTTTTACGCAAAATAAAAGCAACTAATAAGCGACACAACTATAATTGTCAAGTTAACACCCCCAAACGGGCGTGGAAGTCTGTTAGGAATAAAAAGAAAAAAGGGGGGGTGGGGGTTTTAAAAACATACTGTCTTGTAAAGGTTCCTGGGTCCCACATCTACGGCACACACCAGAGAACGTGGCCCCATAAACTACTTTGTTTCCAAAGAGACAGTGTGTTTTTGTGGTGCCACAGGCTCGCACCGCTCCTCACGACACTGCGCCAAACAAGAATAATTTGTCTCTTAAATACATTGCTTGCGCTGAGCTGGAACCTTCTGTATCATCATGCATTTTGCACCACCAGATTTGACTTTCTCAGCAAGAACAAAGCGCAATGACCACCAGCATATAGTGCGATGACATCACGTGCAGACCATGTTAAACAGTTCAGTTCTCTGGTAAAATGCAATGTTTGCAATGCTAACAAAAACATGTCCAAATGATAAAGTTGGACAGTATATGTAGCAGTCTCACAATGATACGCAGCAGCCTAATGAAATGTTAGAGCGCATGACTGATATAGCACAGCGTTGTAAAGTGAGTGTCCAAAACGTGCACGTAAAACCTAATATAACAACATTAGCCTCCCGAGGCAGTATTTCGCGAAGTTTCGAGTTCATGTGAGCCGATGCCCAAATGTGGTTTTTGTTAGGATTATAAGAATCTTTGTCTGTCCTTTGCAGTATTATGTATAATTGGGAACATCATTTCATTGCTGTATCTCTCTCTGCAGTAAGGCATTGTGTAGTGGATTCTTTCGAATATTACCCTTTATAATCATTCTCTTCACACTTGATGTGTTTGCCTTCATATCTATCATAAGAGCACAAAGTTCTTTTTGGCATACCCCACAACTTGGTGTTTCACTGTCAAACAGCGAACAAAAAGGCACGTTTCCACAGTCTCAACAGCCGGAGTATTTTCGAACATTGTCCTCCGTGTTGGTCTCAAGCGGTTATGTGACCATCATACAGTTCAATTTATTGATGATAATAAAAGCATGTCTAATTACTGACTGAAAATTTGACATGAATAAGGAGTCGATCATGTTAAAGATATACATGAAGTAAATGTACCCCCAAATTACCTGAAAAAGGCCGAGGACACCTAAGCACTTCTTATGAGTTGTGAATGCAAAAGCAAGAATGTCGTTCTTCCGCTCCCTTAGTTCGTCTGAGGTGTACGGGCGTGGAAAGGCACGTTTGACGACTGCCGAGGTAGCTGCCGCCAACGATATACAGGATGTCGCAAAAAAGTTTGCAGGGCGTTTCTTACCGCAAAAATAAACTAGGCGTCGTCGAACGCTCATTCTCTGCCAAAAGGTAGCGCTAGAGGTCACAACCAGATGCCAAAGTTTCAGCCCAAACTGACACCTTATTCAAAAGTTATAAGTGATTTTCTAAAAATTTCAGTGGGAAAATTGCGGCCGACAGATTTTTCGAATGGATGGGGCTCTACGGCACCAGAAACCGAAAAGGGGCTCCATTTTTCCATTGAAATTCTCAGAAAAGCACTTATTTTTTAATAAGGTGTCTGTTCGGGCTGAAACTTTGGCATCTGGTTGTGACCTATAGCGCTACTTTTGGGCGGGGAATGAGCGTTCGGCAATGCCTAGTTTATATTTTTGATAAAAATAAATCTGTAAATGTTTTTTTGTTTTTGTGACATGTTGTAGATTCTTTAGGGGCTGCCAAGTTTCTTGGCGCCGAAAGGAGCAGGAAGTGGACTGCATGAAGGATAAAAAACTAGACAGCATAGTTATAAATTTCACAGCAAAAATAGTGTCTATCTAAAAAAAACGTTACAAATATTTTTATTAATTTATCGGTTCAAACCGGATTGAACCAGTCTGAACAGCTATTTGTGCTCCCAGGGACTGAACCGAAAGCCGTGAACTCGATCCCAAACAAAACCGTTAAAAATTTCGGTTCGACACTCCTGAACCAGTTTGAACAGCTATTTGTGCTCCCAGGAACTGAACCGAAAGCCGTTCACTCGATCCCGAACACAACTGTTAAAAATTTTGGTTCGACACTTCTGAACCAGTTTGAACAGCTATTTGTGCTCCCAGGAACTGAACCGAAAGCCATGAACTCGATCCCGAACACAACCATTAAAATTTTCGGTTTGGCACTCCTGAACCAGTTTGAAGAGCTATTTGTGCTCTCAGGAACTGAACCGAAAGCCGTGAACTCGATCCTGAATACAACCGTTAAAAATTTTGGTTCAACACTCCTGAATCAGTTTGAACAGCTATCTCTGCTCCCAGGAACCGAACCGAAAGTCCTGAACTCGATCCCGAACACAACCGTTAAAAATTTCGGTTCGACACGTGAACCGGTTTGAACCGCTATTTGTGCTCCCAAGAACTGAACCGAAAGCTGTGAACTCGATCCCGAACACAACCGTTACAAATTTCGGTTCGACACCTGAACCGGTTTGAACAGCTATTTGTGCTCCCAGGAACTGAACCGAAAGCCGTGAACTCGATCCCAGTGATGTGATTGCTGCGCCAATTGCGCCAAACTGCGCCAAGGGGCTAGCCCTGCCACATCCTGCTACATTTTGCCAAAATATGGGTAATCTGCGCCAAGCCTGCGCCAAAAGACCAGTTTTGGTTGCCTTTCAAAACCGAAACTAAATCGAGTACCGTAATTGAGCATGCGTGATCTAGGTGGCGCATGCGGCCACCCTACACTAGAGTTCCTGTATAGCTACCTACGGTAGCAGAGTTGCGCATTCAGCCTCGGCGCGTGGCCGTAGCGCCGGCTTTCCCGCACGAGCCGGATGCTTTGCTCCTCACGTGACTAAATTTGGCGAATAGCGGCGCCGCGCGCGCCGCCGCGCATGGAAAACAGGAGAGGAGGAAAAGGAGGCGGAAAGCAGGGAAACATACGCCGGGGCAAGAGAAACGTCGGCGGAGCGACCGTAAAGGTGGCTTTCTTGCACGCCACCGGATGCTTTTCTCCTCACGTGATGGACCTCGGCGAATAGCGGCGTGGCGGCGCGGGGAAAACAAATGCGCAACTCTGGCTCCCGTAGGGAGCCTATACAGGAACTCTACCCTACACAAAGTACCCTGCATTAATCGTGGCATTGTAACCCTGGAGCCGGGGAATAGAAGGGACGTAGGACAGGCACATAACTCCAGTGTCAGTATTGAACCAGCTCACCTGCACCCTTGCTTTAGTTACGGTACATCAATCGTCCATCCGGTCTCGAATGCTTTTTTCCCGCCGTCTCTTCTTTCGAGCTCTCGTCGTATCGGGAATCTCGTCTCGCGTTTTTAATTTTTCAACGATAGATGCGGGCGTGTGCCGTCACGCTGTGAAACGAAATTACGTTTTTGCGCGGTGGGAGTTACGTCTTGAGGTGAAGCACTCGCTTCTGAAAGCAACAGCCGTGGAAAGCTATTTGGTCCGTGCCGGCCAGTCCCCACGTCGCTACAGATATGGAGCTTCCTAAGCTGAAAACTGAAACATAAGTACCGCCGCATGTTCATCAACATTCCTGTTCATGTTTAAATCATACGCTACTACAAAAATCCCTTTTTAACTCGACGACTGCTGTGTGGAAGTATTTGTTACCTAGGTTTCTCTCGGTTGGCTTTCTTTCGAGAGAGACCCCGGTACATGAAAAATCTGTCGCGAAAGAAAGTTGATGAAGAGAAGTGAACCAAAGCAAAGAAGGCAAGGTCGGCACGCTGAACCCTCACAGCGCGCTTGTTTGTCTCGAGTTCAGTCGTTGCACAAAGCGCTCCAAGAACTTTTTGACCCTGGCTTGCGATGTCCTGCATTGATGCGCTCAGGTTCTTTTTTTTCCGTATGTTTAGCTTGTTCCTTACCGCCGGCCTTGCAAGCACGCGCCGCTGGACTGTTTATTGTCGCATGCTGGGCAGTTACATTTTGCATACATTTTTGGAAACCATTTGGCGACAGAGCGAAGAGGCATGGTTTCGATCGAACAGCCGTTGTTTCCGCTTGCGCGACGAAACACGTGCAGCTGCAAGCCTGCAGAAGTTGCCCTGACGTGCATGCGAACATGATTGCACGACAGAGGCACCAGCGGGGACGCTTG